TGCTTCCTCTGACTGCTCTGCGTCTACTGACCCCTATTGTTTCCGTTCACACGAGGCCGGGTTGCTGACATAGCACCTAGGTCCCCCTTTTGCCGACACCGTTTCTTATTCTACTTACAATGTTAAATCCATTTAAACAAGATTTTCACAATCCCTTTATATTAAATATTCCCATCACCGGTTACAATTCACTCCCCTCCGTTTGAAGTGGTTGCTTCCCTTTGGAACAACCATTCTTACACTATTATGTCTGAAACCATAAACTATTTAACCTCACCACTGTTCCATCGATAACCTCTTCCAAGGTGGGTGTTGCTCTCGGTGAGGCAATCTTCTCTTTGGTTGGCACTCTTACCTCCCTCCCGCGACGCCTCCACCACCAGGCTCCCGCTCCGACTACTAGCAGCAGTACGCCGATAGAGCAAACATCCATCCCCATAATCAGGGTACGCCTCCTAGTCCGACGCACCTCGCTGTTTTCTCGTAATAGGGCTTCGAGCTCTGCTTCCCAAGCCCCGTGTCGCCCTCTTGATACATCGCCGACCTGCAAGAGCGTTGCCTCCGCCTCCTTCCATCCTTTGTCGCTTAGTTCCGCAGCTGGGGTAGCGTACTACATGTCCGCTGTCCACTGTACTACCCTCTTCTCCAGGTCCACCGATAGGTTGTTGCTGCTGGTGGTCAAGAGTTAAAGTCTTGTGTGCGTAGCGTACATCCTTCAGCTGCTGCCACTTTGCCCACGCCCTGAACTTCCATCTCCGTTACAGTAACCTTTCCCTTGAGATCACATTCTGAGATCAGCCTCGTCGGCGCCGGGACGCTATCGAACCAAGCCTCTCGTTCTTCGCTCCACGCCCAAACAGGTTGGTACGTTCCGAGCACGGTCCTCCAGGAACACAGCGGGAAAGCTTTGCTTACTTCCCCTAAGAACAGCAATGTTAGGCAGGATGGCCTATGACGGGATACGAGCGGCCATCGAGCAGGGCACACGAGCGGGTTCTTTCCTCTGCAGAAGCGCAGCTCTTCTCATCGGACCTGGACGAAGTGCTGGTGGTCTATTGCTGCCAGAAGGTAGTCTGCCGCCGGTTGAAGCGATAGGATTACTCTAGTAGCAGGATCCTGAACAGGGAGAGTTGTCAAGCATAGCAGACGGAGCCTTCGTTCCTTTGAGGCCAGTGGCAGGTCGATTATCACCTGTAAGAAGTCTTGTGTGGAGGTAGCATGGACCTCGGCGGCATCATAGTACGGATACATCTCTGCAGCGGAGGTACCTTTAATCAATCGGAGCTGCGGCGGCAACATAATCGCTACTTTGGACAAAATTTGACATAACTCTAAAGGGGACAACAGGGTGCTATCCAACCTTCATCGTGCCAGGGACAATACACCTCTTGTTGGAGTGACCGTAATTCTATTTCCGCCCCTTCCTCCCTAACCTCGGGGTTGTCTCCCTTTTTTCCGGGCTTTCGTCCTCTTAGTCCATGCTTGCTCTGCCCGGGATCGGGCTTCCTTAAAAGCTTCTTGTAAGCTGTCCTGCAAGACCCACCCTTTTCTCGCGATCTCGGTGCCAGGTATCCCTTATGGCGATTTCCGGAGCGAGGACGGTTCCTCCAGCTCCCTACCGAACACCAGATAGTTGGGTGTGAACCCCGTGCTTGCATGCGGGATCGGTCTATACGCCATCACCGCGAAAGGTACCCACCTATCCCAGTCCGTTCCATCTCGAACCAAGAAATGGGAGATAGAAGCGGTCAACGTTCGGTGGAGGCGTTCGATTATTCTATTGGACTCCGGGTGGTACGGCGTTGTTTGTGTCCTGCCTGGGATGTTCCAGCCTACGTTGCAACGTCCTCGTAGTAACTTCCAAGGGTTACTCTGTCTGTTTACAGCTCTTCAAATGTAGCGCCCCTCCCTCTGAGTAGATGTGGACGTTTGCTTTTGTGAGGAAATCCCTCCCTAAAAGGCCGTCTTGTTGCATCTCCAGTGGAGCTATTACGAACTCGTGCCCTACTACCTGCCCTAGCAGTTCACACTTCAACCACTGCTTACCTCGTACCGCCAACGGTTGACCCGTAACACTTCTTGCTCGCACCGTTGTTCTTTGCACCGGAATTTTCGGGGCTGGTCGGGTTAGTAAGGATATCTCTGCGCCCGGATCTACGATTAGCAAGACCTTCGTCCCGCGATATTGGCCCAGACCTGCAACTCTTCCTGTGCAGCACCCTGTATTCCCAGAATAAGCCGTCCTTCTCCCCATTTACCTTTTGGCATGCCGTCGGGGACCCCGGCGAGCCTTAGGCTTTTGGTGTTGCCACATGCTGTTGGATGGCGGGGTTGTGCCCTGCAGTGGCTGGCGAAATGGAAAATCTTAGTATGTTTGTTTCTGCCGAAGCCTCTTTGACCTCTTGCAGGTTGCCCTTGACGATGGCATCAGGTTCAGGAGCACCTTCAACCTATGAAACCAATTCAGTTTCTTCAGGAGTCAGCTGCTCCGTTTCCTCCATCGCCTCCATGGGGACACATGAGGGAGGACTTTTTAGTAGCTCCTCTGCCTCCTCGCTATTTTTTAGTTTTTCTTGTTTGAACCATGTGATTCCCACGAGAAGCTAGGGATCTAAGTAGCCATGCGGGACGCTGGCGGGGGAAGATTTAAATCAGAGGACACTTAAAAGGCTTCCTTCCCTTTACCCACGTAGCCCTTGGCTAAGCTACGATTACACTTTGACTTGGTGGATAAGGTTATGATAAGATAGGAGAAGGGTAGACGATATGCTTGTGTAGGACATATTTGTGAGCGGTGGAATGGTCCTCACTTAGGTTTTAGGAGTACCAGAATCACTTTAGCCTACTGATCCATTCGGTCTTTGGTCAGTCTTATCTTCCCAGGGGTCTTCAAGGACCATTGTTTCCCAGGGGGCACTGCTGGGAAGCGGGGTTGGAATTTTACCTCCCATCTGGGCACCTACATGGGCTTTGGCCCAGGAGAAGGTGCCTGAGTGTTTTTGTATTATTTAATAAACCTATTCAAACTTTTGTGTAGTTTTAATCATAAATCTATTGCAACCAAACTTTATTATATCATAAATATAATAATTTAGACAAATGCAAGTGGTAACATAATTGCAACGGTAATCAAAAGGTACATCATTTTGATTATTCAGTTCTGATGGAATAAGACAACGTTTTATGAACTATGTAGTGTGGTTTGTTGCTAAAATATCGTACAAGGTATAGTTTATTTGGTGAAACACATCAATTTTATTTTTAAGTCAATTTTATTGTTTTATCTAGTTGAAAGAAACTAGATCAATCATTGGTCCAAAATGAGAAATTGGGCATTTATTGGCAGAAGGTGTTTCGATCAAATAAACAACGTGTCTCGCAAAAGTAGTTGGAACTAGTCTTACAAGTGACTCACGATTACATTTAGATCGCATTCATTAGATTGGCGTTGGTTCAGTCGATTTTTTTATTACTGATCTATTTTTAGAGGATAAAGTAAAGGACTTTTAGAGACGGAATTTTCTAACGTGATCAATTATTTTCTTCCTTTCTTCCATGGAGGGCACTACTACAAACAAAATGCTTTTTGCCCTGAACTTAAGCCAAAATCTCACATTCAAACGACTTATTGAATAGGACAGTTTCCTCAATCAAAGTTTAGACGAGATTAATTGAAAAGAAAAGGCTTTTTCGTTTCTGATGCTTCAATATTGTTGAAATCACCTTGACAATTTTTTATATTCAATTTATATTTTTCAACTTTAACGTCAGGTTTTGGTTTAAACATAGAGCAGGTTGGATTAAAACAGTTTTGATTAAAGAAGCTGGATTAGGTTATCATATGGTCATTAACATCAAATATTGTCAATTTTTTTTTTAACAAGTACTTCTTTGGTAGGATTTTTTAATTTCAAACTGACTCACTGCACAAGGTTTGTGTCAAGAAGAGAATTTTGGTTTTAACTGAGGAGATTTAATGTCAAAACCATATGGGATCTAAAACAATTAACTAATTGAAATGAATTATACGAGAAGTGATTTATGAGGAGAGTGAAAATAATTTCAAACTGATTATTTTCTTCCAAAATTATTTGCCTTTTGAACAGCAGGATTCATCTCGTAGAATAAAGTTTAATATCTGTATCAAATTCTATAGTCCACCCATTTAATTTGAAAACGATTAACTTTATCAAAAAATGGTCTTATGCAAACCCCAGTTAATTTTGGCTAGGAATCGCGTGGTGGTAACCGATTTAACATAACTTTCTCATCTAGCTGGGAAATGTCACTAACTTTGTTATTTTAAACGAGAATCCCATATTTGTATTGTACAGTTCAATTCTAGAACTTATTTTTTGTCACTTTTACTGAAAGGAAAATTTTGATAGAATTGACCACTTCTAAGTTATGCCCGATGGAAGAAGAAGAAGAAGAAAAATAACTTTATTCTGGGACTGGTTAGTTTTATTTGAAGAAACGGATTTAATTTTTCCAACATGAGCAGAGACGTTATAGTTTTTAGACAGAATAAAAGGAGAAGAATTCCGGGAATCAAAATGCAATCAATCTTTGTGAGTTGGAATGGTGCTTGCCCAAATCATAAGGATCTCGTTTACCTACGTTAAAATTTCTAATATGAGGCACATAAAAATATTCAAGTCTTGGTTTACTTTTAAACCTATCTACGAAGGCACTATATGCCAGGTGGTAATTTTTTGCACTTATATGTAAATTGGATATTGTGACTAATACATCCCCTTTTAAAGGCCCTTGAAGATGGATAATTTTTTATCATCGAACAAAGATGCATTTTTATGGATAGTTCAATTGGAAATTGTCTCATTCATAGATGTCGGAATAGAAAGGTGTGGTGTTTTGTGACTAGGAAAGGGATAAACAAGGGAAAGAATAAAGCAAAAGAACAGAGGGATAGGTTTGAGAGAGTTAAAGAGAGGGTGAGAGAGTGAAAGTGAGAGAGAGAGTGAGAGTGAGAGAGAGAACAATTTACAGGGTGGTGTTTATTTCGGAAAAACAATGCAACACCTGATTAAATGGACTCTGGTGCAATTTTCTAATGAAAAAGTATTTTTTTTGGAATACATTGAAAATTTTAAATTACAATTTTGCAATTGTTAATAAATGAATTTCGTCAAACAATAAATCATTGATGGGCCTTGGTGGCCGCAAAGGTTAAGGCGCTCATCGCTGAGGTAAAGGTCCCGGGTTCAAGTCCAGTGGCCCTAAATCCGAACCCAACGAATGGGTGGTCTCTTTTCAAAAACATCGGCACCTCGGGGGTTGATATGACCTTTTCTGTTGTGAACCCTGCAAAAGAAAAAAAAAAACAAATAATAAATAAATAACATCTATACAAAACAATAACAAATAAATAAAGTCTATGAATGATGAAACTATATTAGGTACATACTTTCTTTATAAAAACATTAGACAATTTAGAACCGTTCTATGAAAATTAAATAAGACAGATTTTCTTGAATTGGACTAATTTTACTTGAAAGTGTTTACTCTAGTTTTGAAAATCGCGCAAAAGTTTAAATTATCCATTCCCCACACCCCCTTAAGTTTGTAGTTGAAGTGAATGAAGTTAAAGATGCTTTTAGTATTTTTAAAATCTGCTTCGAGTTTGTCATAGTGTAAAAAATCAAAATTTGAATTTTGTTTACTGCAGCCTGAGAATTGCCTTAGATCCTGCCATGCCCCTCCCCCTCATATTAGGCGCAATAAAATTGACCATAATTAAAAGGCTTTGGTTTTTGAAGTCTAATAAATGGAAAGAATGGAGTAATAATAAATGGAAAGTGAATCATAGTTTCCACGGAGAGGGATCGACTGGGTGGAGCAGTGGTCTATTTTCTATTTGGGGTTGTAAGGTAAGGTGGTGGGGCATCTTATATAAACGAGTCTGGTCTTCTTGAGCCTCCAGTAGTAACTTGTTAGTGTGATAAAACCGTCGGCGCTACAGACGAACAAACATACCACTACTCGACAGGTATGCAAAACAATCAACAAACACAAACACCAACCTGTCTGCCAACACAAGGGAACATTGTATTTCTATTTCTCGGAGTAATTGTAGTTAAAAAAGTTTCTAATTAAAAACTGACACTTTTATTGGTTTTCTAAAATTAATATGAAGGAAAATTGAAGCAACTATACATACTATTGCTTGAGCAGTTGCTTTCAAGACTTTCCTTTTTCAAATCAGATAGAAATGGATCATCCATCTTATTGATAATCAACTAATCAATTTTACATAGGCAGACAGATATAATATGAAATTAAGTTTTTAAGTTAAGTTTAATTTTCTTATATATATTGATTAAATGTCCTCTTTGGTGCAATTTAAGCGTTTTTTTTAATTGTTTGGTTTATACTTTTCAAAATGGCGAACTTTTGTAATTGTAAATTCAGATCAAATAAAATGCAACTGAATTTGATTAGAACGTAGTACCAGAAAAACAAAATCCGCATTATTTATTTCAATGCAGATCATATCTCACAATTCATTGAACCAACCATCACTTTTTATAATGAATTTTTTAAGGGTATGGTGAAAATTGCGATTGTAACATCAGTTGCACACAAACCAGACTTGAATTAAATTTTTAAAAAATAATCAAACATCACTAATAAATTAGACAAATTTAAAGAGAAGAGGCAAACAATCAAAAATTGGCTAAACAGTCTTGAAACATTGATCTTGCTTAAGGCCAATGTAAAAACAAAAATTGTCTTGACAATTTCTGGTCTTGTATGTAACAACGAATGTTAGAAGACTGGAAAACTGGAAAAAAGAACCTGGAGGGTGAAGTCCATTTCGGGAATTCAGGGAGAAAGAATGTGTATTTCTGGCTTACATAGCACCTGACCATAAGCTAAGACCAAATTTGGCCGGCGACCCTCCTTGGCAGGCGACCAAACTCTCGTTTGTCTCTTTCCCACACCCTGTCTTACTCCATTTGCCGTAGCACATTTGTTTTTTCTTTTCCACGATAAATAATCAGGGAAAATATACTTTCATTACATGTTGACAAACGGTTTTATGTAATTAGGTTCATGTTTTTTTTATTTGTATTACTTCCAATTTAAAAATATGCAATTAATTTTTTTTTAAATATATAATTTATTCACATATCCTTTTCCAAAATAGAAAAATTGTTTTCTAATCTTAATTAAAGTTGCGAAACAATTTTTTTCGGTAGGTTAGCATGTTAGACTCTTGGCTTGTACACCACGATTGTAGGTTCGATTCCTACTGTCGCCCCTGAAATTTCTTATCACTATAATATGGAAAACATAAGGTCATTAAAAATAATAATAATAAATAAAATAAAATTATTTAATTTTTTGAAATTTCTGCAATTTAAACTTCAACGTTACTTATTCTTTTTATGTAAGGTCTTGATTGAGATGAAAAAGTTAGCGTCATGAGCGGGATTCGAACCCACGACCTTTGGCTCAATACGCTGCTTCTCTAACCACTTGATCCATCGTTACTTTGATCCACTCGGACACCAACTCCCCATCTCAACTTACAACCTTTCTCATTTTCTCTCTTTTTACCATTGCCATTTGCCTAACAAGGCTTCAATGTTAATTTCAGAAATAAATAAAGATATTAAAAAATATAATGCAATTTTACAACTTATAATTCTGAGTGACTCAATTTTAAAAAAACAAATATAAAAACATTAAATTTAAAAAAATATTACTGATTCCTCTCATTTTATTATTTTTTCTACATAACATCTTATCTACTGAAATTAAACTCAAATACAATGGTCTGGAATCTCTTCATTACCTAAGTAATAGTACACTTATTCTTATTAAATTTATTCTCTATTATGATTTTCACACTGTCGACAATGAAATATAATAAGAATAGCTAAAAATTAATTACTAACTTGATACAATTGCATCGGGAAAGATAAATGTGAAACTTTATCAGAATGGATTATTGGATGTGTGAGTGGGTTTTACCAGTTTCAACCAACAAATTTCACAAAATTTTGATTGTTTTACCTATGCAATGTTAAATTCAGGTGGATTTACCTTATGGTAATAATTTAAAAAAGTTTGATAATTAAAAAAAATAGTGTCAGGTTTCATGTGTGGGTAATTTATTATTTGAACTATAAATACCCAAAAGTATATCCATCCATTGCAAACTAGGTGCCAAATAAATGTAAACTATAAACTGTCATTTCACCTTCAAAACATTTGTTTATTTCAATTTGTTTTTACCAGTAGGAAAATGGTACCCCCCCCCCCAACGTTTTAAGCCAACAGTTTTGCTTTTATGCTTCTAGCACTCTTTCTTATCAAATATTTTGAAATTAACATCTACATTCTCCATTCATATTACTTTCTTTTAATATTTCAATTTATTTGTGTAACCTAAGAACAGTGGTATTTGTTTTGGCCTCAGTGAACTTTTATCTTTCTAAAAGTGCCTATATTGTAAAATTTGTCTACCAATAAAAAGAATTACTTGATTATTTACACAGGAAAGACTAATGAAAGCATAATTGATACACTGCAAAAAAGTTAAAAAGCATAAACTACAACTAACACTCTTCACTTCAAACCATCTTCTATCACAGTTTATTGAGAATTTAGAAGAAAAATTGAGAATTGTTAAATTAAACTAGAAAAAAGTTCTTTTGATTTGACACCAAAAGATGTAATAGAGTACTCAAAAACTTTCTTTTTAAGATAAGGCTTTTTTGTTTAGTTTTACTTGTGTTTCTCTGTGGCTGCAAAACCAGATATCCATTATTTTTATTGTTTCTAACAATTACAAAACAGATATAAATAAAACTTTTAATAAAGAATAATAAATAGTAAGCCATATATAGCAAATAAAGTAAAATAATGCGATTTTCTTTCTAGTTAAAAAAAGTCAATCGTAAACCAGCATCATGCCTTTCAAGCCAGTAGAAAACCCTAAGTGCCCAAAATGTGGGAAGTCGGTGTATGCGGCAGAGGAGCGCGTTGCCGGCGGTTTTAAATGGCACAAAATGTGCTTTAAATGTGGTAAGTAATAAAATACATAAATATCTTTAATATCAAGTTCCATACGTTCATGTATTTTTAATTAACAACTGTTCTTTATTCTCAGGTATGTGTGGCAAGTTCTTAGACTCCACAAACTGTGCTGAACACGAAGGAGAACTGTACTGCAAGGTTTGCCACGGCCGCAAATACGGGCCTAAAGGCTATGGTTTTGGTGGTGGAGCCGGATGTCTCAGCACGGATAAGGGGGAACAATTCAGCAGCAATGTTGAAGCGTAAGTGTGTTCTTTTATTTTTGTATATTTTAAGTCCTACAATAAATATGTTTTATATAATTGTACTCTAATTAAAACTAACTTTAATTAAAATAGAAGGAAGAGTGAATATTTTATAAATTTGTCCCATTTTATTTATGACCTTAAACAAAAATATAATTGAGTAGTTTAAATTCTTAGCCAACATTTTATTAAAAAGGGCATTTTCCTTATTATTATTATAGCAAATGATTAAAATAAATACTTTGGCATTTGAGATAATTTGGATTCTAAAATAATTGCCAGAAAAATAATAAAGAAAAGAAACAATATGTTAATACATATGATTTGTTTAAATTGGTTTAGACTTAAATTTACCCAAGATTGTATTAATGATTCAAACAATCATTAATATTGTATTGGGTGTTTTCATTTAAGTGAATCATTGTGCATGACTCCTTTTCCCTTTTTGTTCCCAGTAACTAAACACCAGGGATGCCACAGGAACGTTCTCCAAACCCCCACACTCCCGCATTTTATATAATTTTTAAGAAATGTCATATTTTTTTAGATAAACATATTTTTAAGTAAATGTAACAAAACATTCATTCTGCGCAACTTTTATATTATGAAAATTCATAATATTATATTAAGCAAATATCCAAATTGCTATGTACAATACTATCTGAATAAATGAATATTAATAGCACGTTAGCTGTTATTATTTATTTCATCAATACAATATTCTATCATTTGCTGAATACTTTTGAAGTAATGTTATGATGGTAGCGAATCAAAATTAAATAATAAAAAAACTTAAGTAAATATGGGGCAAGACATACAGAAAAGATCTGGATTTACACAAAAATGTAAATAGCTTTGAAAAAGAAAGAAAAAAGTAAACAAGTGTGATAAACTAAAAGTTCAGTTTTTGTAATGAGTATTAACAGTACATGTTGAAATTGATCAAAGTTGCTTCTTTTCATCGCTTTAATCACAAACCAAAGCTTTATTGCCATAGATTCTCAAAACGCACCACTCGACTCACAGTAAAGATGTGTTGTGAGAACTGCCAATACAATAGCTTGTATATTTTCTAAACTATTACTTTGACAAATTGTTCGAATGGCACACGAACAGTTACTACACACTCCCATACCCACTCAAGATAATAATTAAAAGCTCGCGCCATTCCAATGTAAAAGAAAAGAAAAAAAAAGTGCTTGACTTAAGTAGAACTAAATATCCTTTAATAATAATACAAAAACATTTACATTACGAAAATATAATTATGTAGAAAAGCTTTGGATTGAATTTAGCGATAATTGGGAGCAATGTGTTTTTAAAAATATTGAATAATGTAGTAAGGATTAAATTATCACTGTGGGGGCTCACAGCAATATCTATCAATTGTCTGAAAATATACCAGGCCAGATTGGAATGGTGAGATTAATTCAATATCACTGAGCATGGCTATGGCTTTGCATTATGAATGTCTGCTAGATTATTATTTAAACATTTTGTTTTATTGCTTACAAAAAAAAGTAATTCTGTTAATTACGATAACTGTCCGCAAAATAACAGTTCTAACAAGAAATTAACATCTTAATTCTATGTGCTATGTCTTAACAAATCCGTACAATTTACCCTAATCTATCCACAGAACCTTAATGGAAAAGAAGAAGTACAAAAACAAACCTTGTTACAATAGTCAAATTATTGAATCATTCTTTGATTCTTATGATTTATTTTGGGCACCTAGAGGCTTAAAGCAGTAGTTACTGTCATCAAAAATTGTTTTATTATAACTATCATGGTATCAAATGATTTTTCACTGTTGGTAAATGTGTTACTGAGCTCTGATTCTAGATTTATTTCAACCAATACTACTATAAATCTCACAGCAATTACCATTTTATGCTTATTTAGTTACTGCTACTAGTGTTGAAAGGTTCAGTCATGTAATTACCCATTTGTTTTAGTCTTTCCATCTGACTTTCTTACCACTTCAAAAATGAAATAGTTATACTTATATATTATATATATAATGACAAACATTTTTTACTCGTTAAATATTGCATGGATCATTCCATGGTTTACTTCTAAAAATAAAAGCTTTAGTATCTTGAAAAATTGTAGCTACACAGACGTATGACGATGCATTTGTAGGTTAAATAACAAAGTAACCCATAACACAATATTCAAAAATAGTTGAGGACCAATTGCAACCTTGTTTTTCCTCCACCAATCCATTTTCTCCTATTAACAATTTTTCTCAATAATACTTTATAACATTTTAAAAATATTTTTCTATTAATTTTTCTCCTTAGTTAAAACACTCTTCAAATAATTATAAAAGGTCTATTTGGTAAGGAAAATGCCCTTACTTGGCTGTTAAAATATTTAAATTAAAAATTCAATTCAGTACCATAAGTAACCAAGCCTTATACTAGCTATCTTATACAATTTTCTGTAGTTTTCTAAATTCCATAATAGTTAACATTTAGCAATTCTTTACCTATATTTACAGCTTTTTGCGAATAATCTTTGCTGAAAATTCTGTTACTTATATTTAGTTTAACGCTTTTAACATAGATGTTTTATTTATTTATTTCTTGTGATGTTTTATTCTAAATCATTTTGTCTTATATCATGATTTGAATTAACAGATTAAAATATAATGTGAAATAATAGTTTTTAATATCATTTCATTATTTTCAATTGTTTTTTTTCTAAATTAATTTAACTTTCTGCATTAACATGTGTGGTATAATAAAAAAAATAATTGAGAATAAGTCAATGAATGCAAGGTTTGGCTAGGACACGGGCAACAGCAGCAATGCCAGTCCGTGCAATAGCTATGGCACCAGAAGGAGAAGGCTGCCCAAGATGCGGTGGATACGTCTATGCTGCTGAGCAAATGTTAGCCAGAGGAAGGGTAAGTTCGCATTTATTTTTTTTATTGTGTTTATTTAAGCATTTTCATTTAAATCATATTCTTTAAACCATCCTAATGATAATTGCAACTATTAGCAATCATCACAGCTCAACAATAAACATTATATATTTATAGTTTTATAGTATGTCACTCAGTGAAAGTTAGCAAAGGTAATAATTGTTGTTCTAATATCTTTACCATCATTGGAAAAGTACACTTTCACCTTGCCTGAGCAGAGTGTAAATTCGTTTAGTTTTATTCCACAATATTTCAAATTGCTCAAAATATCAGGCATTTTTTCCATGACATTGTCTTTTAAGAATCAATTTTTAAAATAAAATGGACAGTCTTCACTTACATTTTGATGAAGAAATTGAAATTAGATCACAATTGTCCTACATAAAATTTCTGATCTTTACACCATATTTTTAAAAATATTCTGAAAGACTTTTTGCAATATAATTTTTTATTTGTGGATTATTTATTGCAACCAAAACCCTGTTACATTAAAAAAAGTAATAAACATTAATAACTATGCAAGCAATAATGTCTTTCGTAGGCAAATTTAATGAAGAATTCTCAAGCCTGGTTATGTTGAAGAAAAAAAAATTACATTATACAGTTTTAACTGCCTTAATTTAATAATATTGCATGCTTCAACATTAGTATTGAAAAAAAAAGATTTTTTGTGCCTACAGTTAAGAATGTGAAAAATGATTCTTTTATTTCAAAAATGTAAAAAAGAAGAATTAAACTACAAATGTTAATAATACAAGCAGTGGGACATTGTATGTTTGTTTTTCCAAGTTGATGAATGTCTATTAATAGGGAATGAAACGGTTTTGACATGTCTCTTGTGTATTGTAAAAGTTAGATGAATTAATTCAATAAACTATCAAAATTATCACTTAACATATGTAATGATGCATGAAAGGTATAAAATTATTTTCACTGACTATGAGGTAGGGTTGGCATAGGAGCTGCTTCTTCTGTATCAGATGTAAGAGAACTCTTGACTCATTGGAGCATTGTGATGGACCAGATAAAGAAGTTTATTGTAGATGTAAGTGAATAGAAAGGAAACTTTTTCCGAGCATGTAATTTCTTTAGAACAATTACTTCACCACTCTGCTCATGCAATTACTGATACCACCACCATTATTTTTTAGTGTACTTAGTAAGTACTTCGGTTAATAGGAAAAAATTAAAAGTCAATTCAAAATACAAATGAATGAGAAGAAATGCCGTTAAGCAAACTTGTATGATAAATAACACAATATATTGGCTTTTGATTTTTTTAACTTGTTGAATGTTATCACATATATAACATATGTGAAATATTTCTTGAAAACCTATGAAATGAATGTACTTTTGTGGATTGTCTCAAAACCTACTAAAGAAATTGAACAAAAAAAATAAAAACTACGAAAATGAAGGAAATATCCTTTTGCACTTTCAGTGTTTTTGTTGATGTGTTTTGATTGATCGTGTTATTGCATGTGCATGTTCCCAGGGCTGGCATAGAGAGTGTTTCAAATGTGGCGATTGTTCGAAACGACTGGATTCTACGAATTGTTGTGAAGGACCAGACAAAAATATATACTGCAAAGGTAATATGTGTTACAATATCTATTCTTACAATGCAATTATTATCCACTACTTGTTGAGATGGAAAGCAAGTTGTCATGTATGCAAGCGTATAATGCATTTTACAATTATTCCGTCAGTACTCACCTATTAAAATAAAAATTTAACCGCAACGAGTTAAAAACAAACAGTTATTTTACACAGGTTATTAATAAATCACAATTTCATTTTAAATTCATTGTGTCAAATGCAATGTATGATGTAAATAATAAGTTATTTTGTACTTAAGTTTATTATTTTACTCATTAATATGTACTTCATTATACATGGTATTTCTTATTTCATCGAGTTCAAATTTTCGTAATTTACTTTAATATTACAACAAAGCATAAATACATTTGATGACTTGCTTTAGTGGTATAAAGTTAAGCTATAAAAATAAGGCTAAAAGCTTGAAATTTTTTCTAATTTATTATATATTTCAATTAAATATTATTTTTATCTAAGGTCTTGGTTGAGATAAAAAAGTTAGTGTCATGAGCAGGAATCGTACCCACGATCTTCAGCTCAATACGCCTCTGCTCTAACCACTTGAGCTATCGTGACAAGTGGTTAGAGCTGCAGCGTATTGAGCCGAAGGTCATATTCAAGTCCTGCTCATGACAATAACTTTTTCATCTCAACCAAGACCTTAGATAAAAAGAATATTTAATTGAAATAATTAATATGATCAATTATGGCTGTTAAACATATATGGATTTATAGTATATGTTTAGTTTAAACTGAGTGTTAATAATGTTTAAATTTTGATTGTAAAGCAAAAATATTTTACTATAACTTCTCTTATACCTTTACTTTTTTGTATATTGCACTGAATGTATTCGTGTGTGTTTTTGCATGATGTTTGCAGTGTGCTATGCGAAGAAATTTGGGCCTAAAGGCTATGGATATGGACAAGGTGGTGGAGCATTGCAGAGTGATGGTGTTTCTAATGGGTTTGTCCATTTATTATATATAATTTATTGTGACAAGTATGCATGTGCTCATTTTTTTCATAGAAATTTATAAAATATATATTTCAAGCTCTTTCCATTGAACATTTCAAATAGAAACTCGAGTAGAACATCATAACAAACATGTGTCATAACTTCATGATACTGATATAAAAGATTAGTCCCTAAATGCAAAGCAGTATTTTTTCTAGCAAAATGAGCAGATGCATGTTGTTCTTTAATTACACTCTAATTATTTTTTTTCTTAGTGTGCTATGCAAAAAAGTTTGGTCCACGAGGGGTAGGTTTTGGAGGGTCAGCGATTGGTCTAACATGCGATATCAATGACAACAGGTCCGTCTATCCCCTTTTTGCTTGTAAAATTCCTTGTTTTCAGACTTGTATATGCAATATATAAACAAGAAAATTTATCCGATCTTGATTACATAAATCATTCCTATTTAACCCTACGAATTTTTTTATCAAAAAAAATCTGCATGATTTATTTTTAAATTTCTGTTATCAATTAATTAGTCTGTCTAATTAGTCACTTATTATTGTATCCAATTTTTTTCATTAAATTTAAATATTTGAAGTAGTATGTTTATATTCGTCTAACACCAACTCAGTGTAAATTTTGATGCAATCTCTTTTTCCCAATTAAAAAAATTGTTTTCCTGAAGACTAAAACTGTTTTTTTATTATTATTTTTATTTATTTATTTTTTTTTTTTATACAAAATAATATACATTTACATAATTCAATAATGTTTAATGTCAGTAAACGTACTCCTTCAAATAGTTTTCACCTAGAAAGAAGAAGCATGATTTTTACTATTGTTGTCCCTTTAGTATTGTGTATTATTTTTTCCCCTATCGGAATAGTTGAATTCAGGGTGCTACTGTGCCGATACATATTTTTTTAATCATGTCTTAATTGATAAGCATTGAAAGTTTTAATGCATGACAATACAATGAAACACAAAGCTATCCCTGGTTCCGAGTCAATTTGTATTGTTGGTACCTAAAATGAAAATTGTTCTGTGTCACAAAACATTCTTAAGATGACTATTTAGTTAGCTCCTTAATACATTATTTTTTACTTATTTATATAATAATATGAGAATATTAAAATCATGTATTGAGCTACAGTAATGTTCAAATGTTAAAGTATTGTGAGTATTAACTGTGGAAATAATTAGAATTATAGAGTTACCTTTAGCTGTAATTTAGGATTATATAATACAGGATTATATAATAATTTAGGATTATATAATTAAATAATAATTATTAGGATTATATAATCAATTAATACATACTAGGAATGTGTTTGAATTTGACATTTTCCATATTAATTGTTATTGTTAAAAATGTGCATTCCTAAAATTACAGATATGTGGTTTGTAATCAACAAACAATTATCTATGTTGTATCTTTTCAGTTTTTTACAGTTTGACAACATAATTCCATCAAATTATTATATTAATTTTAAAGCCATTCTTATTATTTTGCAACACTTAATTTTTTAAATAATTTTCTTTGTAAATATATTTTAGCTTTTCAACTTTTATTTTATCTGAAATATTGTTTTCCTATCAAATCAGAAAATGGCATTTATTGGTCAGTAAAATTGGTTAAATGTACCCAGCCAAATACAGAAAATGACAAAAAGTCAATAAAGTATATTCAATCCTATTTTAGTAAGGGGTGTTAGTGGCCATAACGGTTTGGCATTAACACGGCGCTAATCACTGTAAGCTGAAGGTCAAGTTCGATTCCAACAATCTTGAATTCAAATCTAATATACTTACAAATGGGCTTTTTTTTTTTTCAAAAATGCTGGCACCCGAGGAGGGGGGTTTGTTTACAAATAAATTCTTTAATTATCTAAAAATGTTCCAATAAATTATATTGTATTATAAAAGTTAGAAACTTTGCTTTTTTTATCTTTGGATGAAATTCTTTTGATCAACAGGAAATTCTTAGGAACGAAATATTACTGACTGTATAACATTTTGTGTTTTCTGTAGTGATTTTCATTTTAGTTAGGCTTAATAAATTTTATAATATCTAAACTAGTTGATATCAGCAGATATGTTGAACATTGTTGATTAATAAAAATTCTTCCTATGTGAATTATATCTAGTAATAAATTCATCAAAGTACTATTTTTAACTTAACTTTATTCCTTCTTTAGTGAGGTCTCTGCTCCTAGAACTACTGTGTTGGACACAGCACGTATCAAAGCACCACCTGGTCAAGGATGTCCTCGGTGTGGTGGTTCAGTATTTGCTGCTGAGCAGGTCTTAGCTAAAGGAAGTGTAAGTAAAACTTTTGATTTATACATTTTAAGTATGATTGATTAAATATAATTTTGTTATGTGATCAACTGAAATATTAAGTTTGTGTGTGTAATTTACTTGAATATAAATACATTCTTATATTGGGAAACTTGTAAGAATCAGTATGTGAAGACAAATTGGAACAGAACTACATTATATACATCTTGAAAAAAAAAACCAGGGGCAACGGTGGGAATTGAACCATTGACTGGGGGTCTACAAGCCAAGAGTTTATTTACAAATTATTTATATATNACAGGGTATATCAACTTATATAGTTCATCCATTTAATTCGAAAATGATTAACTTTAGCAAAACATGGTCTTATACAAAACCCAAAGTTAATTTTCGCTAGGAATGGTATGGTGGTAACGGATTTAATAGAACTTTCCCATATAGCTGGGAAATGGCACTAACTTTAATGTTAAACAAGATTCCCATATTTTTATTGTAGAATTCAATTCTAGAACTGATTTTAAGTCACTTTTACTGAAAGGAAAATTTTGATAGGATCAACCATTTATGAGTTATGCCCAACAGAAGACGCATGAGGGTGTATGCGTTTTGTAACAAGATGGCCCTCCCTGTTTATTTCGAAAATGAGTGGCATTAACAAGTTAATTTAGGATAGGAATCATCTCAGAATAGGGTTATTAATAGGCTAATTAGCTTATATTAATTTTTGAAAAAAAAAAGAACTCTTTTACAAAAAAGGATTTCTTTTAACATCATCGAGTCCATTTTATATTTAAGTTATGTTGCAAATTTGACCATTTATTAAAATTAGGTGGAATGGCATGCATTCAATTCTTTAAAGCCCCCCCCCCAAGAAAATAATCCATGGGGGTCAAATCTGGCCAGCTCGAATGGCATGAAATAGGACCTTGTGTGTCATTCCACTCCCCGTATGGTTTTCATGGATATAAAGAAATGGATAACTACATAACAGGAAAGTAGATTCATAAAAAAATAAAACTTCTTATAATAGATAACTTTGTAATTAATATTATTTAAAAGCATTCTGCAATATATATTTAATTTTTACAGGAATGGCATCGCAAATGCTTCAAGTGTAAGGACTGCAACAAAACCCTTGATTCAATCATCGCTTGTGATGGGCCAGATAAGGATGTGTACTGCAAAACTTGCTATGGAAAGAAATGGGGACCACATGGCTATGGATTTGCTTGTGGTTCTGGTTTCTTGCAAACTGACGGATTAACGTATGTCAATTATAAAATACTCTCATTACATTCAAAATTAATTACATATTTATTTGAAATTTACAGGGTAGACGAAATGTCACAGTCTAGGCCATTTTACAGTCCTAACACAACCTCTATCCGCGCTCCTCCAGGTCAAGGATGCCCAAGGTGTGGTGGCATGGTATTTGCAGCAGAGCAGCAGCTTGCTAAAGGCACTGTAAGTGCAAAAAATATACTTAGCCATTTAGCCAAGATTTAGACAAATTTTGCATGAAATTAAGTACAAACATAATGTTAATGTTCAAATTGATGATCCCAAAAATGTTGGATACATTTTTTAAATTTTTTTGTTAGTTTACTGTGAAATTTGGATTGCAAATATTTATTTTAACATACATTCGTTTTATGATTACATTACCTTTTCACTACTTTTATCTCAGGTATACCATATTGGCACATTTACTTTATTTTCAAACTGCAACAAACTGAAAAAGCATGAATGCTAATTTACTCTGCAGAATTTATTTTAAATGTCTAAATTTGATAAGAAAATCAGTCAATTAAAATATTATCTAAGTTAAAGCAATGATTGATTTTTATAGATGTGGCACAAACTTTGCTTCAACTGCTGCCAGTGCCATAGACCTCTTGACTCGATGTTGGCTTGTGACGGACCTGATAAAGAAATTTATTGTAAAGCTTGTTATGGAAAAAACTTTGGACCAAAAGGTTTTGGATATGGCCATGCTCCTACTCTCGTTTCAGTGAATGGAGAATCCACAGCACCTTTGTATGTATTTAGTTGTTTAAAAAAAGTTGGCTTCATTAAAATTTTAAAAAAATTTCAGCTTAGATGCAAGGCCTGGTTTAAAAGCCGCAGAAGGAGAAGGATGTCTCAGATGTGGCTATGAAGTATATGCTGCTGAACAGATGATAAGCAAAAATAGAGTAAGTATTATAAAAATTAGACGAAGGTAATAATCAAAATGAGTGTCCTCAAGCTGTAACTAACCAACTTCTTGAAAGATTGCTTGTTTCTTTTGGTTTTCAATTGTTGTAACTTTTCAATAATTATCATAATATTCATTAATATCATTTTTTCTCTTTACAGGTTTGGCACAAAAGATGTTTCTCCTGTGGAGATTGCCACCGATCATTGGATTCTACTAACTTGAACGATGGACCTGATGGTGATATCTACTGCCGAGGTTGTTATGGTCGTCATTTCGGGCCAAGGGGCGTTGGTTTTGGATTAGGAGCAGGAACTCTAACAATGGCTTAAGCAATTGACGTTAAAATCATTGGCAATGTTATTACTGTATTTCATTGAATATATCAAACAGTTTAGGAATCTGCACAAACATTTTAAATACAATATTTTTTATTTAGATCTCTAACAATTAAGTATTAAACTTTTTTTAATAAAAACAATTATAAAGATCAATTTATATATTGAAGTTGAAGGTATTTTGATTTTAGTAGAGAGTGTATGAGAATGTGGTAAATGTGTATGTTTACGATCTAAGATTGCTTCTACTTAGATAAATGACTTTGTTCAATCATTTATTGAAGCTTGGTTACTTATGAATTTAATTTGAAGTTTGAATTTATATTTACTAATTTTTGCATCTCTTATAAAAATTAAAATATCAGATAATGATTCAAAATTAAGCTTTTATTGCTACATCATTTGAAGAACCAAAATGTATATTTTGTGTGGAATTTCTTTAAACTGTTTCAAGTATGAACATGTAGTTTACATAATAGCATTTGCTTTAGAATATGGCTAAGACAAATGGGAAAGAAAGGAACAGTACTTGTAAGATGACTGGTTCTTCTGCAATTGCTCCAGGATTCTTTATTATTCGAACGAAACATTGTTTGAAGAAGATAACAGAAATACAGCGTTTTAACATTACAGCTTCAACACAGAGTATTATTTATACATTACAGCTTCCTAGTAATAATATTATTTATTTATGCTTTATGTTACATTTAAGAATTGATTGTAATCTAAAACTGAATACATTTTAACCAAACAATTTGCTTTATTTATTTATTTATGTCAACAATATTCTGATTGACTGTAATAAAACTCAGTGTAATTAAAACCGTAAATAAAAATTTATTTATAAACCAAAACATGTTGCAATCAGGCATTTTTTTACCAAATAATCAAACAGTTATTTTGAATGCCTCTAACTACTGATAAAAATGTGTATTATGTACAGTGCACAACATAATAAAGTTATAAATTGTTTAGTGCAATTCATTACTTTACAGAGCCAAATAATTCAATTGCTGTTACTCACTGGAGTACCTTGAATAGCATTAAATTGCTCCGCAAAGTAAATTATTTTATATTGAGTCTTCTGAATGTTTAACAGCTCTTCTATGCCCATGACAGTCCTTAACTGATTATTATACTAATAACATATTATATATTACATATTTGGGATAATCTGGGCAATTTATGAAGCCCAAAAAAGTCTGAATTAAAGCAGAAGGCTTCCTCTCGCCTGCCAACATTATTGTTGTTCCTCAAAGCTCCAGTATATCTGCCCCTTTTTTGTTTTTATATCAATGGTCTTCCTAATATCCTTAAATATTGCATTTATCACTTCTATGCGTTTGACTTTCAAATCTATCTCTCCTTTTCTCCTCATGGCCTTCAAATTTCAATCATAAGAATCCAAGAGGACCTAACTGCCATCAGCTCCTGGACTTTTAAAAATGGCCGAAAAATATTGAGCCTCAATAAGTCTAAGGCTATAATGTTTGATCACTTCCCCTTCTCCAATCTTTACCTCCTATTCTACTGCTTGGCAATAACAACCAACCAATCTCCTTTTATCCATCTGATCTCTATCATCTTGATCTGATCTTGATTAAACCCTATTGTGGAAACCCCACATTTCCAAATCACCCGCCGCTGTTTTCTCCACCCTACACCAATTCCGTCATGCAAGCCAACTATTCGCAACCAGCACCCACAAACTCCTGATCTCCTCTCTTGTGCTTCCCCATTTCGATTGTGGCAGTTTGCTCTACTGTGGACTCACCAGTGAGCTTGTTGACATACTCAAGAGAATCATGAACTGCTATCTTCGGTTCACGTTTAGCTGTGTCTAATATGTATCATGGTTAAAATAGGCTGTACCCCTTCTATCGCCGGCTATACTTTCTTGGCTCCTTCCTCAATCAAACAATTTCTTCACATTCCCTTTCCTATATTATATATATGATCTATTAACATCTGTTAACACTCATTCACGCCCATCTGATCTCTACCCTCTCTCTTACAAATCCAAATCTTTAGTCCTCCTTCCTTATCCCTTCCTCTAGAATTCCCTACCTAACTCTATTTGCCATGCCTCAACCCTTTCTACTTTTATCCCTTCTTTTTTATTACATCCTTTCCTCGCAATTTAACACCGAGGTTGATTAATTGTCTGTTAATTTTTTTCCTTCTTATTTAATATTATTTGTTTAATTTATTATAATGCTATTAAATTTAAATCTTTATTTATATATTCATTTTGACACAAATTGTGCCAATTTTTTTGTTGTTGTTAATCAAGGGGGTTCAAAGCCCCAGAGTAAAATTTATTTTCTTCCACTTCTTCTTAGAAGCATTATTTCATTTGCAATTAGTTCATTTCAATGAGAAAAAGCAATAGTATGTTGAAATGATTTGTTCACTTTCCTGTTTATATTATTAAATATTATATAGCTTTTAAGGTAGAGAGTAAATCATTTTCCATCAATTAATCCTTTAAGTCATCGTTCTAAATCCTTCAGTGAAAGCTCAGCAATAAAACAATATTTTGTACGACCAACCTTTCATCTCTTATTAAAAATAATAAGCAATGCTAGATTAGTAGATTAGTTGTTTTCAATCATGCTAGTCTGCCAATCCAAACAGAATACAAGTTCATCACCTCGCAGACTGCATGGAGAAGTTCCACAAATAAATAACTGTAAAACATATAAATAGTCCAAGGGTGGCTGTGAAATTTTGTGTAATAGTAAATGACTGTTTGAGAACCTGACATGATAAGGAGGGATTATTATCAGGCCATATACTGCTGAAACATGGGCACCTGCTTTTAGAACCAAGTATGCTTTTGACATGTAAAGATAAGTCACTTGCTGTGTCTAGAATAATTGAAGGTGACAGCAGTTCTTGAATATTGTATTTATAATGACAATTTTGTTTTTCCTTTATTTGGAGTCAGTTGTAGTTCCTTTCTTCCACTGTGACCTGTGTATTGTGGAATTGAACTTAATTTATTTACAATTCTCAAAAAGTGCTCTACCCTTATAGTAGTTAAGCAGTTTCCAAGGTTCCTCTTCACCTCTTTAAGCATTAATACTGCCATTAATGGGTTAGGTGGCACTGTTTCTGGGTTAATGGTTTGCAGTAACACAGGGCATGTTTCAGTGTTTCTGCCTCTTTATGACAGAGTCAGGATGTTTCTGTTGCAGTTTTTCCCATTTTTTTTCTTTTTTAGGTGGTAATTAAAATGGCAATGGACAGTTTAGTTTTTGCAATTAATTACATAATGATAATAGTAAAAACTAAATTTATTTTCTTTAAATATTCTATAAATCTAAAGACATCTGAGCGAGAGAAACAATAAGTTTCAAAACTTAGGTAGTGCGATCTTGATGCCATCCGAATTTTTGTACGGATTTTCTTTCCTTGCAATTCATGTGTTTAACAGCTACTCACTTTTCTCTAATCATTTCAGCCTGAAAGAAGGTCTATTATTTTCCTTAATTATTTCCTACTGAGAGAAAAGTAGATTTTTGTTTTTCTGGTATTGAGGAACTTAATTAATTGAAACTTTATTGGTCATTTCTTTCTCAATCCATTTGTTCAGTTTTGACATGCTTTAGGCATGCCAATTTGTGGTTTCGGTCCAAACAATGTGGGAGCTGTTCCTGCTTTTGCTCCTTTATTAATCTGTTCATTGCCTTGAATCCCCTCGTGTCCTGGTACCCACATCAGATTTACGTGATTACACTTTCCCAGGAGATGGAGGTATGTTAGGCATTCCTAGACCAGCTTTGAACTGAAGGTGGAGGAGTTTAAGGCTTCTGTGCTGCTTGGCTGTCTGAGAATAAGTACATGCGTGTATCTTTCAATGTTTATGTATTTATTTTGCAGATTTTTCATACAATCATGAAAAGGGATAATAGTATTATTAAGGAGTGGTGTTTAGTGACCGTTAGCCAATGATTATTTTGGCACTCTCAACATGACACACAAGAATGACACATCTACACGAAAAACAAACACTTTGAGCCCTGAAGATGATCTCAATAAAGATCGAAACGTTGGTGTGATAAAGAAAATGTTTTTCTAAAACCTACGTCACACCTGACGATCTCCAAATAAGTATTATTAAGGATGATATTAGGAAGATCCATACATTTGACTCTACTGAGGGGTTACATTAAGATTAAATTATATTAAAAATGGAGTGGGTCTCTTTCCGACCCATAAACCATGACCGGTATTAGTGTTCTATTGTGCATCTCTGTTATCTAGAACTCCTCATTAAGACTTTTTATTATTTTTTAATTTAATTTAATTTTATTTATTTATTTATTTTTGGTCAAATCTGAATTTAGACATCCCTAGAACTTACCTTGTCTGCCTGAATCTTTAGTTGCTCCTTGTTAAGCAAGTAGGCTGCAGCCTATGAATTGTGGCTCTGGCCTTTCCCTGAATAAATACATATATTAAGATGTTTAGCATGTAGAATGTTAATAATTTCGTCATTAATTGTACTAATATAAACTGGCAATTCAGCTGATTTACATAGAAAATCATCTGCATAAAGGTGACATTTGGAACAGTGAGAGGAGAGGATGTATTATCTATGTAAAAGGAAAAAAACTATGGTCCAATGATTAAACCTTGGAACACCCCTCAGCGAGGTCTAGAGGAAGAATAGCTAATATTGTTACGTACATACATATTGGATTATATTAGGAGGGAAGGAGATAATCATAGAGCACACAGAAGAACTGACCTTAAAAGTAGTGGATAAATAGTTTGTTAATGAGAATTTGATGTGAAATACAAAGGCGTTAGAAAAGTCAAAAAACACTAGGATAGCACAAGTCCTTGATCTATGTCTATGGATATCATCAATTACTTTGAAAGTTTTGTTTTCAAGTTATTTGAAATAGAAATAGGAATATATTTATCATAAACAGTTTCACAATAGGGTGGGCTCTTTTACAGTGAGTAGAAAAATATAAAATAATTAAATAAGAAAAAGGTTATGTAATATATTGCAAGAAATAATAATTAATAAGTAAAATTTGTATAGTATTCACATAGTTGAGTATGAATGAAGGAGAAAAGTAGGTATAAAGGAAAGTCTAAAAGAGGGAAGAAAAAAAAATTGCAACAAGATTACGTTAAATCATGTTAGTTTGATTAAATCATGGATTGTTTGCAAAAAAAAGTTGAAGGCTTCACTCGTTAATGCCTAAAGGGGCTGGGCCGACTTAATATGCCGTGGAATGGAATTCCACAGACTCACCCCATGAACTCTAAATGAATCATTCATAGATTTGGATTTATGATGCACGCTTTTCATAATATTGATACTAGAATTGGGAAAGAATTAAAATTTATATAATGAATAAGTATGATGGGCAGAGGTGATTTTTAACTTTAAATAAATAAATAAGAAATCGAACTTTAAGATAATCAAAGAAATTTATACCCAGAATAAACTTGCCATGTGTTGAGATGTGCTCTCTTCTTCATAAAGTTAATACAAATCTTGTGCCATTATTAAAAAGTATTCTAATTTTTTAGTAGAAGTGTGATTAAATGAAAAATAGTAGATAGTTCTGAAAAAAGTAAAAACAGGTAAAATAAGAGTATTGACTAGTTGGGAGATGAATTTGATATTTCCTAAGTGAACTTAAATCCCATTCACCCTTCTAGCAACAAAACCTAAATAATCATCCAAAGATAACTTGGCATTAAAAGACACCAAGTTTTTTTCTGGTTAGAGAAGGGTATTAAAGAGCCACCACGAGTAATGCAAGGAAAAACTCAGTTGGCAGATATATTTGTAAATAATTATTGATTGGGACTTGAGTGTGTTAAATTTGAGACCATTGTTCGAAGCCCAATTAATGAAGCTAGAAAGGTCTTTGTCAATGAGATGGATATAATCAGGAATTAAATGCAGGGGATATTGTATATAGACTTGGGTATTGTTAGAATATAAGTGAAATTTGGAGTAATTTCAACAAGAGGAGAAATCATTAATAAAATTAAAATCAATAAGGGTCCTAAAATTGCACCTTGAAGAACGCCAGACTTAACAGGAAGGTCAGATAAAAGTTAGTTTTTGACAATTTGTTTACAAACTGACAAATTTTGACCTGTTGCTCAACATTTCATTGAATGGTTGCTCTGAATCTTGTTTCTTGCTTGCATATTTTATTTCCAACCATAAGTTACAAATTTTCAAAATCTGTGGTGGTTAGCCAGGTGGAATGTCTGAAACCTAAACTATCTTCTATTTTTATGTTTTCCAGCATCTCACTCGTCTAACTATTTAGTTTAACTAATAAAGCTGTGCAGGTTTAATGGTGACAAATCATCTTGTTCAGTTCCTCAACTAAACATAAAATCGGCGATTTGTCTATAGGCAGAGGCGCAATTTTGTCTACGAGTGTGTGCTAGCCTTAAGATGCATAAACAAAATCTAATTTGTTCATTATTCAATTAATTGGTCAAGCGGACCACGAAAAATAGTGAATTTGTACATTATGTTACACAGTACATTATGTTGGTTAGTATGTGACATCACATACGGTAAACGACCTTTGATGGTTACTCTTCTAGTTGTGATAACTGATAAGGTGATGCCTTCCATGTCCATCTGCTGGGGCTGTCAGGCTGTCTTCTAAAGTCACAGACACAAACCTAACGGCCTAATGTTGTTAATTGTAATGTGTTTGTGTAGTGTTAGTTAGGAGCTGTTCTATTGGTGTTATTTGCTACGAGTACTACAATTTTTTAATTTAGAAAAATAAACTACTGACCAAACGCAAAAAGCTGTAGGCGATCTTTGCTTACTTTTCACTTTAAAAAATAAACTTTTCAACAATGAGTTCTGTGAAACAGAACAAGTTGAATAGGAAATTTACAAAGTATAAAAATATCTTGTGGGAGGATCATAAAATAATGACGAGCCAAGATCCTACAGAGGTAATAAACACATTTTGATTAGTATTAATCTTACAACTAGATCAACAAGTATAAATATAAACCAATACAAACTTTATAAATTTTATGCAAGGCAAGAGTGTTTACAAACGAGCAAGAAAATATTAAAAATATAATTATGTGGAGATCATGAGATGTGGTCTGGTGTGACGTAGGTTTTAGAAAAACATCACACCAGACCACATCTCATGATCTCCACATAATCATTGACTAACAGTCACTAAACACCACTCATTAAAAATATAAATCAACTTCATCCATAAAAAATTATAATCGTAGATGCTTATAAAATCATTCCTTCTCTCCAATTCAGCTTCCATTCTCATCATTCCAAGATCCAACAAGGCTTCAGGGTTGTCGACACTATCTCCCGTGTTCTAGAAAATAAAGAACATTGTTTGGGTGCTTTCGTAGATGTAGCTCAGGCTTTTGAAAGGGTCTGGCACAAGGGGCATGCTTTATAAACTTAAACGCTTCCTACCTATTCTATTAACTTATCCTGAAGTCCTTCCTAACAGACCACTGCTTCAGAGTGAGGTGAGGCAAGGAGTTCTCTGAAGTCAGACAGATACAAGCCAGTATCGCACATGGGAACAGTTTTGGTCCCATCCTTTATATCATTTATACTGATGGCCTACCTATATATTCCATATACCATCATCAACACCTTGTCCTCTAATCCTATCCAAGCTACCTCCAACATCCAGGAACACCTTGAGCTTATCGAACATTGGAGTAAAAAGTAGGGGACAAAACTGAATGAAGAAAACTGTCCTCGGTGTACGTTCACATTGAAAAAAAAAGTCTTGCCCTCCACTGTACATGAACAACAAAGAGATAGCGATTTCCATTCAAGTCACAAACTTTAGGACTAAACCTAGACAACAGACTGACGTGGAATCCCCTCACAAAACTTGGGAATTATGACATTATTAAGACAGCAACTTAGAAGACTTGGACAACAAGACTTTTAGAATGGAAATCTGCATTGACCATCAAAACTAAACTACCTTATACAAGATATTAATCCATTTCATTTTCGTTATCAATTGACAAAGTTACTTTTTTCAATCAATCAATTAATTATTCTTTCTAAGGTTTTGGTTGAGATAAAAAAGTCAGTGTCTCAGACCAAGGTTGTGGGTTCGAATCCCGCTCGTGGCACTACCTTAGAAAGAAGACTTATACAAGATTTTATTGTGACCACTTTGGATATACCTAATGAACTGTGGTGTTCTGCCAAGCTATCCAACATCCAATCTTTCCAATCAAAAGTGCTCAGAAGAACTACATCACTATTTACAACGACCTCAACATTCCTTTTGGCAACAAATCAGTCCGTTCTGATTCCGAATGAACCTCTCGATCCATCCTAACCCTACTGCTTGAGCCATCTCTACACATTCCCATCCTGAAAACCCACCATGTTGCCTTAATCGACGATGGCCTCGAGACCTCCTTGCCCCTTAATCTCTCACATTCAGTGCCAGTATTGGCTGGTTACTCATTGCATGTATCCTCCAGGTGCAGTGCAAGCATTAGTGGCTGGTATTAGTGTTTTACAATTTCTTAATTTACAAAACCTTTCCCTTGTTCTGTCTCACCTAGATTAAAAATAAGGACTTCACCGACACATATCACTCCCACCATGCTAAGTCCTCTCCTAGACCTCCCACCACACTATATAATAGGAAAATTGTAACGAGCAAATCAGTTTACTTACTGTACACCTCACCCTTGCACCTTCCTTGCAGTAGTTCAACCCAGTGCACCAGTTTTTACCACCTTGCTCAGAGTAATTTTCAATCAAGTTGCCATCACATTGGGAGAAGTGTGTTAAGAGTGATGGAGGGTATTTTAATTAATAAAAATGTTTAAAATCATTTATTTAATTGTTTTTATTTTTCATTATTTTTTGGACAAAATGCCTAGATTATAGTTTTTTGTTGTTATTAGTATTTAAATGTATGCTTTTGATGCAGGTATTGGTCATCTGCAATCTTGGAATCAATGATGGAATTAGCAGCAGTGATATTATAAATTTTTTTTCAAAATATGGGAAAATTGTTTCGGCATCTTTCGTTCCGAGAAAGTCGTATTCTTTTATTCTCTTCGATGATGTCCAAAGTTCTGAAAAGTGTTATCGACAAATTAATGGAAAGCTTGCCTTGGATAATGTGAAGAAGCCTCTCTATTTACTCTTTGCTCAGTCTTGTATGTGTCTTACTAATTAATGTTTTTCAATATAATTCAAATTACAATTAATTAAGGTTTTTAGTTGAGATGAAAAAAAGTCAGTGGCACGAGAGGGATTCGAACCCACGACCTTCGGCTAGATATTCCGCTGCTCTACCACCTGAGCTATCGTGACCTCGATCCACTCGGACATCAACTCCCCATCTCAACCCCACCTTATGAGTTTTNAGTTGGTGTCCGAGTGGATCGAGGTCACGATAGCTCAGGTGGTAGAGCAGCGGTGCATCTAGCCGAAGGTCGTGGGTTCGAATCCCTCTCGTGCCATTGACTTTTTTTCATCTCAACTAAAAACCTTAATTAATTGTAATCATATTGGTCAAGCAAACCACGAAATTAGTGAAAATAATTCAAATTGTTCAATTTTTGTAGTTCCACCTTTGGACAATGATATATTCGACTTCTCCCAACTACCTCCAGGAGCAACTTTATTCAAAGACTTTCTCAACCTAGACGAGGAAAACGAATTTCTTACAATAGCTAACGAATCGTTTGTTGGACAGTGTAAGATTACTGCAACTGTAGTTTAATTTGTGATATTTTTGTCATATAACAACACAATATAAAGCTAAAGAATTATATTGTGTTAGTTGGAACATTGTTATGGAATTTTAGTTTGATGGTTTTTACATTGTGTCTATACATAAAATCAAAATTATTTATATCTAATCTCAAACCTAAACAGCTTATTTCAATAAATCTAGCAGTAATTTTACAGATGTAGATAATGAATGAATTTGAAATTGTTTAAATCTTTTTGATTCCATGCACCCCTATAAATATTAGTTAAACTATTCTGCATACAGAGTGGTGCATTTTTTTGACACCATAAAAATAATGCACCACTTCTTTAATGGACTATCAATTCACTTCTATCTAGCCATATTCATAGTTTTAGCTATATTGTCGCATTGCTCAGAGGCCTTGTCATTGATGGCCCACAGCGTGTATACAATTTCATCGGCCAAGACCAGAGGTCCCCACCATCCTAGTCGTATACACTGCTTCTTCAGCAAGGAGGCCTCCATGCCACTCCTGGCCTACCAGGGACAAAGGAGTTGTGTTGACAGATGAGAGTCATTAGAGAAGATGGACAGAAGTGAGAGCCTGTTATTAGTTAGTTGGGAACTTAATGAGAAGGTTATCAAGGAGTCAGTGCAGCATGAGATCAGCTGCCTGAGTCTGGAATCTGAGTCCTGTCAGAGTTCATCACCATAACAAGACCTGCCCGCAAGATTGACAACCCAACAACCTCTTCCCCTGCTTGAAGATATATGCTGAGAATTAAATCAGATTGTAAGCCAGGGGTGCCACCCCTTGAACTTATAAGCTGCTCTACTTCTTTGAGGGAGATATCCTGGGGCACAGAGGAAAAAGAGAGATCTGTGGTACAATATCAAATAGTTGTAGGAGACTCAGAAATTTGGGCTACTGCCAATCAAAACATACTCAATAAAAGAGTATGCCATGGAAAACTTTGGTTTTCTTTTCTTGAGACCATTGACATAAAATTTCTAAGTTGAACTGGCATGATATGACCACAATGTGTTTGTATAGCATGCTCCAGTTGGTTTACTTTGATTTTAGATTTTATATGGTCTCACATTAAGAAGTCGAGAGGCGCTTCTCACTCATTTTTTGCTGGTAATGACTTCCTTTATGAACTAATTTCACATTATCTCCAGAATTAAAGTTGCTAATCATTCACATAATTGAACTATGGTAAGGAGTTGGCTACCCAGGGTATCTTGTTTAAATTTTTCTGCCATGCCCCAAAAACTTCAACTTTATGAGATTTCTCTGTGCGGTAGTGCTGATGAATTTATAATTCGATCTTTTCTGGTCATTTTGTTCTGTCTATCATTAAATTCTACAGGTACACTGAAGATGGCGAAACCTGTCTGACAAATAAAACAGAGAGAGATCTAAATGATTGGTAACAACCAAATTATACTGTAATATTGCTCTATCCACACAACTTTCTCCTGAGTTGGATACATTTTGAACTAAATGTTTGCCAGTGCTTACCAAGAAATTAGTTTTAATTAGAAAATTGCATCAGGTTCAGTTAAGCAGATTGTGCATTACCTTTCCATTAGTTTTTCCAATGATGTGTTGAAAAATGCACCACCCTGTATGCAGAATAGTTTAACTAATATTTATAGGGGTGCATTGAATCGAAAAGATTTAAACAAATTCAAATTCATTCATTATCTACATCTATTAACTCATCACATTGAACATCGTGAACTTTCTGTAAACTACTGTTATTGTTTCATAACCATCTACAGTTCCATTGTTATAGCTTAAATTTGTAACTGTAGAGAATTGAATTATTATTTAATTTAACCAATAAGTTAATTTATGAAGAGGAGCATTAACACTTTTTTCTTTCAGCCACTACTTTAAAACAGCGTAAAGTGTTTCATTATGGATATGCTTTTCTGTATGAAAATAATAATGTTGATAAAAACAACCCTCTCCCCAATGGTCTACCAAAAATATGTGATATTATCCGACCGAGGTTAAATGAAAAAGGATATCCACTTCTCAATAATCCAGATCAACTGACAATAAATCTGTATTCTCCAGGGCAAGGTAACTAACAATCTTTTAATGGTTTTAACTGTTCATTTTAACTGTTCGTGACTTATAGTCGTAGTATTAGTAGTTTTTACAACTTCTTTAAATTCACTAATTTCGTGGTCCGCTTGACCAATTAAATCATTACAATTAATTAAGGTTTTTAGTTGAGATGAAAAAAAGTTAAAAATGGCAAAAGGAGGGAAAACTCATAAGGTGGGGTTGAGATGGGGAGTTGATGTCCGAGTGGATCGAGGTCACGATAGCTCAGGTGGTAGAGCAGCGGCGTATCTAGCCGAAGGTCGTGGGTTCGAATCCCTCTCGTGCCGTTAACGTTTTTTCATCAACTAAAACCCTTAATTAATTGTAAGTATTTACAACTTATTGCATATTGCTGCTTAGATGGTTGTAAGCCGTGATGTTTCAAGGGGATTCAAAGGATATACTCCATCCTAGCCTAAGCAGAAATAATTGAGTTTTGCATGTTGTATGTTTTCAATAATTTTGTGGTTCACAACTTCACATTCCTTCCTCACTATAAGAAGCTATTTCAATGAGTAGGCCATGTTTTTCTTCTCATCAGTATAGGATTGCAATTGCATTGTCCCGTGGATAGGAGTTTTCATCAGCCTAATACTGTTTGGCTGGAGACTTTGTTTGAAGAGTAGCTATGGTGGGTTAGGTCCTAACACATTTCACCTTATTATTCTTTGTGATCTTATCACCGATTTCTCTGGGCATAAACACACTCATCACCTCTTTCTGGATGATACCTTATAGAGGAATATTTCGGCACCTAGGCATCATAATGCTTAAGTCAACATCAACATTTATAAAGTATTTTCCTCTAGGTCAACAAGGCTGAAACTAGTCAATATAGATTTTCAATACTAAACTTCTTAACAATTGTATAACATTAATAATTTTTTCTATAAAAATAATTATTTTTCTGTTTAATAATTTTTTCCTTTTCCTAGGTTTGCCTCCTCATATTGATACTCACAGTGCTTTTGAGGATGAAATTTTGATTTTGTCTTTAGGCTCTGATTGCATTATGGATTTCAGGAAAGATTCTAAACACATCCCTGTGATTTTGAAACGTAGATCCATGTTAGTGCTTGCTGGTGAATCTAGGTATGGACATTAATACAATAAAAAAAAAAAAACATGAAATTTGCTCATATTAAAATAAAGATATATTGTTATAGATACATGTGGACACATGGGATATCGGCTAGAAAATGTGATATACTTTATGATGTCGATCAGGGATTAGTTAATAAGGAACGTGACACAAGGATCTCGTTTACTTTACGCAAAATTTTGCAAGGGGAGTGCAAGTGTTATTATCCTAGCACTTGCGACTCACAAATGGCAAACAGTTTTAACAATGAACACCCTTCTAAATTAGAGCAACAATTTGTACATCAGGTGATGTATAATTTTTTTTAAAGCTTGTATTATCTGAAATATTTACTTTTGTAATTTGTGTTGTATTTTTATAAATTATTTGTTAACAGTAACAAAAATTTATAGGTTTATGACACCATATCAGATCATTTTAGTCAAACCCGCTACAAACCTTGGCCTAAGGTTTTAAATTTTGTACAATCCTTTCCAGTTGGAAGTATTTTATTAGATGTTGGTTGTGGAAATGGAAAATATTTTAACCACAATCGTAAAATATTTGAGGTAAAAATTATACCCTTGTTATTTTCAGTTGTATAATAAATATGGTTCAGTTTATTATCCTCATAACTTTTTGGCTTTTTAACAAGTACGATTAGTTTTAATTTCAATGTTAATTTTTTTTACTAAACCTAAAGAATATAAAATTGACTGTCAAAGTGTATTTATGAACATAGTCAGGTTGTAGTATCAGCCTTCGATAATAATCCTTTGAGGGTTTGAGTATTCTATTCTGCATGTTTTTTCATTGCAAGCGTATTTACTTTTTTTCTCACTTACATTAACTTACTTTCAAACCCAATATTAGTTGAAAAGGATAGTTCTACTAACAATTTTTTTTCCAGAACAGAACAAAACAGAAATTTTATTTACAAATATATACATTATATACAATGGTTTGGTGGAGTGTCTGTTTAGAAACAGTTACCTCCAGCTGGTTAGGATATAATGAAATTTTTATTATTTTCTATAGAGGAGAAGGTATTAGATTAAAAACCAGCTATAATAGGCAAGTTATAGGAGAACATTCTTTATTCTCCTGTTCATGTACCTGTTGTCAAACAATTGTCGCCTATTATTTGGCAGCAGATTGTGCTATTTTTGCATTGCTTAAAAAATTTAAAGGTTTGCATCTCTGACATATTCCAGCACCATAAAAATGTTTATCGCATTGTGCAGTTCTGATATGTGTACGTAAGGGGGAGAGTCTGTCGCAAGCCTCATAAACTTGTTCTGCACAACCTGCAATCTGGCGACATTAGTCCTGCATGTCAGGCCCTAGAAGGCCACAGATATAGGAGCTTTGGCCTGACCACTACCTTGTATAGAAGAAGCAGGCCAGAGAAAAGTACGCAGATAGCCACTTTGCCCTTGTTCACTTTACCACTGACATGGGGAGTGAAAAGTGAGTTTATGGTCTAATATCACCCCAAAGATATTTGAACAACTTAAACCACGACACACTTTCAAATTAAATCTTATTATAAAGCAACGGTCTATGCTTGCCTCTGTTTTGTTATGTTTAATTTCAATTTTCCAACGATTGCAGAAACTTCCTATGCAGCATATTGCATTATTTGATCTGTTCAATATTATGTCTATCCTTCAAGAAGAGGAGAAGAGAGCTGGATAGAAACATCAGTAACAATTACAATTAATTAAGGTTTTTTAGTTGAGATAAAAAAGGGAATGGCACGAGCGGGATTCAAACCCACGATCTTCGGCTAGATACGCTGCTGCTCTACCACTTGAGCTATCGTGATCTCGATCCACTCAGACACTAACTTCTCATCTCAACCCCACCTTTTTAGATGAGAAGTTAGTGTCCAAGTGGATCGAGGTCACGATAGCTCAAGTGGTAGAGCAGCAGCATATCTAGCCGAAGATCGTGGGTTTGAATCCCGCTTGTGCCATTCCCTTTTTTATCTCAACTAAAAAAACCTTAATTAATTGTAATATATTAATTGGTCAAGCGGACCACGGAATTAGTGAATTTGAATCAGTAACAATGTCTCTCAGGAAAGGGATGATCCAAAGGAAACTCAGAATTGTCAGGATAAGAGGTAGGAGTAGACTATTGTTATTATGTAGGAGTCATCATCCTGCTAACTATACCATTATACCAAAAATTGTCAAAGGTCTCTTGGATATCTATCAGAACCATGCTTTCATAAGTTATATGCCAGCGTTATGTCATTTACTATCTTGTCTAACTAGGCAGTGGTAGATAGTGCTGGCCTGAAACCAAACTGCTCCGGTATAATAATGCTGTAAATATTTTACAAAAACTTTTTGTGAATCAACTGTCCTTTTCAACTACAGTAGAACCCCCTCTTAATCAGCCTCAGATCAACCAGTCCTCAGATTAGCCAGCCTATTCCATGAAACGGTTCTTTTTATTTTATTGCTGTTGTTAAAAAAAACGTAATTTAATTCTATTTTTTTAAACTCCCCTTTTGCTTCCAACTCTATTTTTCTATGAACCAACTTTTTTTCGGCTTTTCAGGAGCAAATTTCTTGAAAATTAAGATAGAGAAACGAGAAAGTTTTCTTTTTCTTTCAGTTCTGTTTTTACCTTTATCCAGTTATGTTCCATTAAATATAATAATATTTTGGCATGACATATGTGACTGCATAAAGCAAAAAAAAAATATATATATATATTATAATAAACATGTACATAGGTATGTATATATATTTGCTTGTTTGCTCAAGATACCTGATGAACTACGTTCATATGTAGGTTCTTTTCAAATAAAAATCGATTTATCACAGGAACCTCGGATTGAACAAGTAACAAACCAGTGTCTTGGTCCTGACTAGACCGGTTAAGAAGGAGGGGTTCTACTGTATTTAATTTATGTACTCACTCTCATCATTTTATTAATTAACCATTTTTGTATGCAAACCTTGTCGAAATACTAGAGTAAACATATAATTGAAATTATTTACAGATAGGATGTGATTACAGTCACAGATTAACAACGATTTGCAAGGAAAGAGGATTCGAAGTATTACGAAGTGACTGTTTATACCTGCCTTTCAAAGATAATTTCTTTGATGCTGTAATAAGTATAGCAGTGCTTCATCATTTGTCAACACTTGAAAGAAGAATTCAAGCTTTTGAAGAAATAATCCGAGTACTCAAACCTGGTGGAAAAGTTTTAATCTATGTGTGGGCTAAAGAACAAAAGCTGAACAACTCACCATCTAATTACTTAAAAAGTGGTGAAAATCATGTTAAACAGAGTGAAATCAATTCTAAACAGTTTAATTTGAAGTGTAGCGTTGAAGATACTTCCTTAAGGACAGGTGTTGAAGAAAGCAGTGAACAAAAAGGTGGTAGGACACCAGGAAATTTGCCTTTACCGGTTCACACTAATAGGATGGAATTCACACAAAAAGAACAAGATATTTTGGTTCCATGGAAGCTTCAACGTAAAAACATTGAAACGTCAACACACCTTAGATATTACCATGTATTCCAAAAGAACGAACTTGAAGACATTTGTTTTCGTTGTAAGTTCAAAATATTAGACTCATATTATGATAATGGTAATTGGTGTGTGCTGTTAACAAAATAATCTAGCAGTGTTAACATATTTTTTGGAATATTGTTACACCAACTGTTTGAAGATAAAATCGCAACAAAGATAAAAATAAATGTATTACATACATTGATTATATGTATAATTTATATAGTCAAATCTTTAAGTCAATATTAATAAACTGTGACAATATCAATTGTTTAAAAATTATTATTACCTTTAAAAAATATTGTTACATATTTTAGTGTTAACGTGTTTTAGTAAATTTATACTACTGAGATGATCTTGTTCTCTTTTAATAAATTCCATAAATTATTTTGTGTCTGCACCTGCGAAATATTTTATTTCCTTAAGTCTCTTGCTCCCGAATAGTCCTACTCCATTTTTCGTCTCCTCGCCATTTTTCACTGTTCGATTTGCTTCCGTTCAGCTATCATAGTTATATTTTTCAAGAAAAACACACAAAAACTACAAAAAATTGAAAAAAATTTTATTGTCTTTTTCGATGTAAAAGGTTCATAGCACATTTTTTTAACGTATTTTTCAAGAAAAAGGCAAGAAATTGAAAAAATTTGGAAAAAAGGTTGTTTTATTAACTTGTCAAGGAAAGCATGTGTGATGAACTTATCCAATTTTTAGCCTTTATATTTTTACGTTTCAACACCTTTTCTTGACTCACCCTCGCCAATTTTCTCATGCAATCCTTTCAATTATAAAAATATGTCACATTTTATGTGCTGGTTCATAATCAACTAGAACAACAAGTCCTTAAATTGCTCATAAGATGAGACAGCCAAGCAGCTCAAAAGCATTAGGGCATTCATAAAAATGTCATGACAAGATAACAATATCTTAACACTGTTTAGTGTCTGGGCCTTTTTTGTGGCCCTGAGAAGGGCTGGCATTATGGGAGGAGCCGATGGTCAAAGCTCATGGACTGATGTCAATGAGCATGATGGTTGATGCAGAGGGAGGTGGTAGACTCGGTAGTGAGCGAAAAGACTCGTGCTGCAAGATATATTGGCAGTTTGTTTCCCCCTCATTGGACACACTACAAATGGGGTTGAATAACCACATGTGTTTTCTCAGATGACAGTGACCGGAATATAGCCCTATCACTACCCTGACTGTAGGCATGTGCCACTTTTGGTGAGAGTTATTTTATAACTGTGTCAGTGTTTACTGCGTCTTGTGTTTCTGGAGTTCATCCATGTCAGCACTATCTTCAGCAACAAGGGTACTTGCGATATTGTCTCTTGCACTCATAACACCTGACATGGCTGTCTGCAGCACGAGTTTTTTCGCTCACTACCGAGTCTACCAACTCTCTCTGCATCAACCATCATGCTCATTGACATCAGTCCGTGAGCTTTGACCATTGGCTCCACCCATAATGCCAGCCCTTCTCAGGGCCACATAAAATGCCCAGTCACTGACCAGTGTTAACATTGTCTTTACCTCTTGAGTTCATCCTTTTTTTGTGTACCCATTTTGAGGTTAGTCTATGTTTGATCTTGTTATCCCAAGTATCTGTGTCTATATTGATTTTGCATATTCCCTTCTGCCCCCTCCCCCAATAAGTTATCTTTTCATGACATTTTTATGAATGCCCTAATGCTTTTGAGCTGCTTGGCTGTCTCATCTTACGGGCAATCTAAGGACTTGTTGTTCTAGTTGATTATTAACCAACACATCAAATGTGACATATTTTTATAATTGAAAGGATTGCATGAGAAAATTGGCGAGGGTGAGTCAAGAAAAGGTGTTGAAAACATAAAAATATAAAGGCCAAAAAATGGATAAGTTCACACATGCTTTCCTTGACAAGTTAATAAAACAACCTCTTTTTTAAGTTATTCGGTGAATTTACTTTTATGTAGGCAATTTTATTTTCAAAATATTTCACTCAAATGGGTAGTTTAGCAAAAACTCTTGAGGTCTTCGTGACGTGTTAAAGTTACTTTTGTTAAAACTTGTCACAATGCCGTGTGACTTCGCCTACAATTTCATTTTTATGCAATAATATTACTAATAATACTTTATTATCAACAAATAAAAAATACAAAACTATGGCAACAATAAACACAACACATTTGACAAACACTAACACTTACACATTTACACAAATCCTTCAAAATATTAACAATGACACCCTTGCTCTCTTAAAGTGTTAAAATACATTTCAAATTCAATATGGAGAAGAAAGGGGATGATTTGGTAAGTGCATCTTAAACACACTTATAAGTTGGTTGTATGAAGTAGAAGACTAAAACATTTGATAATATATGTTAAAGTCTCTTTGTATTTGTTTTGTCTTTGTATTTAGTTAGTAATTAAAAAACAAAAATTGATTAATAAAAATTTGTGTGCAGTACAAGTGCCAGCATGATTTCCCTGCCTTTATATAGTTATTAATAATCTTACAATTAAATCTATTTTATTATTTTTCTTTGTTTTTTATTTGCACTGCTACTGTTGTCCATTGAAAAACAGCTGAAAAATAATTTATGCAAACTTTTTACAGTGTCAAAGAAAAACTGGTAGATCACATTTGTTGAACAGAAGGAGCAATCTTCAATCTACACAGAGTCAACGGTCAACGGGTTCAAGGGTATTGTTCCCTTATGGAACGGAAAACTCAATCAACTCTTCCATCCTTGATGGGCTCACGTCCATTCAGAGCTATGCATCCCAGCCATCGACATCTAAATCACCATCGCACATTCCTGTTTATTCCAACTCAAGCCGCAGCACCAACAGTGGAATCGGCGACCGAAAAGAGTCAAACGAAAGGTAAAGTAATATTTGTCGATAATAAAACTCTACTAAACTAATAAACTTCAATAATAAAATGTCGATACTAAACTTCCTGTACTTATGAAACACAAATTATTCATTTATTATTTAGGATTGACGCACAATAATTTGTTTGAAAGGACCACCTTCTGATCCTTTCAAACAAATGTATAAAACTTTATCTCTGAATGCAGAATAATTATGTTCCAGATGTGAATTAGGCTCTTCTAAGCACACATTATCTTCCCTACCAATCGGACATTCATCATTGTCTTCATTAGAAAATAAAAAACAGATGAATGATGAACCAATGACTGAGTAAGTTTTGGCCTTTGATTTGATATAGTAAAAATTAGGAAAAAAATGTGTGACCTTAAGCAGAACTGAAGGCACATACCTAACATAGCAATAATAATAATAATAATAATAATGTTTATTGATGAATTCTGAATACACATAAAACTGGAAGGGGGCTTCGGTGGCCTCAATGGTTAAGGCATTGACATGGTGACCATCACTGTAAGGTAAAGGTCTTGCGTTCGAAGTCTCTGCATTTGAATCTGACATAATTACTAATGGACTTTTTTTCAAAAGCACTGACACCCCGAGGGTTGATATGACCTCTGCTGATGTGAATCCTTGTAAAAATAATTAATAAAACTGAATAGAACAATTTTTTTCTTGGTTGTGTCCAATAAACACACAAGTTTGCTCTCTCTATAACCTACAAATCTTTTTTTTTTCTACAATGGATACCAGGAACTGGAGGAATTCCCTCCTGAACTCTGCAGCTGTTCAGCTTATTGTACTTTATCCCTGGTTCCATTTTTTGGGGGCTCGCAACACAAGTGTGAATTTGAGCCCCCAGTGTGCCAGTGTTCTTCCATCGAAGATACTCATTTTTAAAGGGGGTTGGGACCAAATTCAGGTTTGCTTAGATCTGATCTCGCTCCTTCCATTGATGAGTGCCATGTCAATTTCTTTTCAGTTGCGGCCACCAGTACCCTCAGGCATTAGAAAAAGTCCAGAGGCGAAGGTGGGGATTGAACCCATGACCGCGGGATCTACTAGCCGAGAGTCTGACGTCTTCACCACTTGGCTACCGCGGCCCCCACCTACAAATCATAAAACTACAACATGTATTAAATAGAAATACACTTGACTGTAATGAAATAACATTATAAAACTTCTTTGCCTTCAGAGTTTGCCCAAAAGCAGCAGAAACGATCGATGGGACAAGAAAAGAACTGAAAGAGTTAAAACAAATCATACTATCACACAATAACATAAACCACTGTCGGATGCAAGAAGTAAGTGAGAATTTTTGTAGCAAACTGTATATAATGAAAGCTACCAAATATATTCAATACTAACCGTTTTTAATTATATATTTATATATATAGCTAATATCTCTAATGGAAGTGGTCGTCCAAAAGGCTCATGAAGTGGTATGTATTAGTCACGTATTTAACGTAATGAGTTAAATATTAAACAAGCAGTTTTCTTTTTTTTATCCTTTTTTTCAGCATAGTTCTAACGTTAAGCTGAAGGAACAGTCAATAATCCCGTTGAATGCTGGAAAGGATTTGGACAGTCATGTATGTATCATTACTGTACATTTTGTTTGGTAGTTAACCCTCAGATTTCTTACAAACTTCTCTTCTGTTTGAGAATGCAAGCTTGTAACATTTAATTTTATAATTTTTATTTTACAATAACTTACTGAAGACTTTTTCAACTCTTTTTCTGTTATTATCTGGGTTTTTACTGTTTTTTCCCCCCACCAAATCATTAAATTTTTCCATCAAAATTTAAGTTTTCACAGTTTATAGTCCTCAAATTCTATTTAAAATTATTTTACTGTATAATTTTTTTGACATTTTATACAGATTTGATTTGAAGAGTATTTCATAACCTAGTGGTTAGGGTGTTGACTTTGTCACACTAGTGGTTCTGGGTTCGAATCCCAGCCTAACCCATGAATTTTTAATTGTGAACAAAACGGATTAAATATTGACCCGTCATTTGTGACACCCAATGGATAGTTAGACATTAAGCCCTCCAGTATGACAGAAATTACTTTACTTACTTTCTACATACTTGATTTGACATTACACGTCATTTTCCAACTTTTCATAATGTCTTTTAGTTGATCAGTGGAACCTTGGCAGCTAAGTGGATATGCTGTCAGACTTGTATTTGCCACAGTAGCAGTTTTGAGTTCGAATCTTGCCATACCGCATGGAATTTTATTTGATAGGAACTAAAAAGAAAATATTGTAAAGTGGTTTGACTTGTCCATGACACCCAATGATTATTTGGATGTTAAGCTCTCCTATATAACAGGAATGACCATTTATAATTTATACTATTTATAGAAATTTAAAGTTTTTGAAAACAGAGTTATGGGGTTATTTTCTGGCAGAAATAATTCATACTGTAGTTACATACAGGATATATGTCCTCTCCACTTGATGCTTGATGCTTTGGTCAATGATTGTACCTAGGTACTTAGTTTCTTTGTAGAAGATTATAGCTTCAACTTTTAAAGCAGGTGCTTCTTGAGAGGGTATGAGAGATGTTTTCTTAGGGTTGATATTTAAACCAATTTTCTCATACCATTTTTTGATTTGACAGGTTCAAATTTTACCTTTTTGATAGTTCATTCTTTGGTCTAAATGGCTGGCATCATGATAATCACGTTAAAGGTGGGGTTGCTACCAAATGGTTGAACAATGGGAATGAAAGGAAGGGCCTGTGGGGGATCAACACCATCCCAAGAGACTGCCTAGCCAGCGCCGCCATCAAGACTGATGAGTCAGCACTTGTCTTTTTAAAGAAATTTGTCCTCTCTTATGATTATGGGCATTTTTTATGGGATGTGGATAAAAACCATTTACATAGCATTTATTGCATTATGGAAAAGTCCACTTCCCCCCAACAAATATGGGGCTAAACCTGCCAGAGGTGCTCACCCATCCAACCTGCCAAAGCATCCCCAACATGAACCATCCTCTCAAGGATGCACCCTCACACACAAGCCTCCTTCCCCATCAATCCCAATTCTACTTTACTATATTTCTGTTATCAGCTCTTTATAAAAATTTAAAGAGAAAAACAAGGGGGGTGCCTTCATCCATCATCTCATGCAAGGACTCTGGCAGTTTGAACTCTGCTCTTTCTGTGTAACAGAAAAATGTCGTAAGTATGTGTTTTACCGTCTGTTGTTTATCACATGGAATGTTTTTTCCCCAACAGATCTTTACCGATGGATGAAATCTCTTTGGTACATTCATGTTGATCGATTTTAATCTATTGTTTTTTTTGCCAAGGCCGTACTTGTTTTTCCCTGTTTATAGTTTTTACCATCCAAATTTGAAATTTCTCGTTTCACACTTTGTCATATATACCTTTATGATGTTTTGCAATCCATTTCTTTGAATTGAGTAGTTTTTTTAAATATTTTTTATTAATCACTTCATTAATCCTACCTTTTTCTAATGTTTTCTGAATTTCTTCTCAACTTTTTTCCTATTTAGCAGTGATTCTGTTCTTTTATATTCGGATTCGATGAAATACGTCCAACATATAGATCGACTAATACTAAAGGCATTAAATATCTAAAAGTTTTAAGTTAATTTAAATTTATGCTTGATATATTTTAGGTTAAAGATATGAACCATTTCAAGAGATTTTTGAATAATTTTATTTTTCCAGCAAGATTCTATTGTAATGATCGAGCAACAATCTATGAAACCCTTGGCTGAAAAACTATTGAAGGAACATGAAGAAGTATGTATAAAGATATTCTATTTTCTTTTATATCATTATTAATCATTTTTTACCAGTCAAAGTTCTTTTTGGTTTATTTCAATGTTCCTTTCAGCTGGCTTTTACCTTTTCTTAGCCCCAGGTAGTCCTAGTCTAAAATTTATTTCTATTTTCTTTACCCTCTTAATGTTGTTTCTGACATCATGAGTCGTTTTAAGTTATGATGAATCAGTCAGAATCATCATTCTCTATGTAGAAGGGAAATCATTGTGCTATATTACCAATTGTCTTAGTATCAGTCATCAAGGACTGTAAAATAAAAAAAAATCTCAGGGTGCTGCAATTTTTTTATGGATATTATATTTTTGATTTTGATAATAAGAAATTAATTTTAACCTAATAACGCACTCTACTTATGAACACTTGAATGAGAAAAAACAATAGAAAATAACATGTTTCAGGCTCAAAAGAAGTTAAAACACACCCTCAGACTTGTACAATCTCCTCCCCTTTACTCCTGCGATGAATCGGTAAACTCAGTAAGTATTTAATTAAAATAAATAACCACTGTGAGATTAACCTATATTTTGGTCTGCCTATCCTTGCTGGCACCAAAATGAACATTCATGACTAAATTATAAATAAAAGTTTTTAAAAAAAGAAGTTAATTATGAATACAATATACAAATGCCACCATGTTCCATCAGGATTCAGAAATAATTTTTACAATTCCTTCTTCCTTTTCTGTTTTTAATTTTATATGCACAGTTGGTGTTAAAATCTTAAGGCTGATCCTGGTGATTATACAATGGATAAAATAAATGCAAAAAAAATGTATGTCTCCTTAATACTACCGAGTAATTCCACCTCTGGCACATCACATCCGTTAAATGCCTTTGCATTCCTTGGAAAAGATTTCCGATAAAATCCTGAGAAATTCTTTCCCATTGATCAAGAACAGCCATTTTTGACTCTTCTAGGGTGTAAGGACCTGGGTTTCTCCATCATACTCTGCTTAAGTTGGTCCCAAATATGTTCAATTGGGTACAAATCTGGACTTCAAGTTGGCTGCACCAAGCACTCAATTCCAACCTTCTCCTGAGTGTTTCCATATGAAATTATGCTCATGTGAAGATTTGAGGTCAAGTGCTTTGGTACTGATTAACCTCCCATACACACTAACTAAGCAAATCATGGCCAACAAAAGACAACCAACCACTCCATTGGCCATAGTTTGCTTAGTGTGCATGGGAGGTGAATCAGAACCAAAATGGTTGGCCTTGGTCAAGGTCTTTCGGTAATAACATCAAAAGGGTAGGCATCGTTGCTGCAATTCTGCATGGTCCAATTTCTTGGTTCCAACCCCTTGTTTTGATGAGGACGAGCCAAGAATAGTCAATGTGTTGGTGAACAACATTAGGCCTGATATATTGGTTGTTTTTCGTTGGCCGTGATTTGCTTAGTTTATACGTGCCTTAAAGAGAACTCGTCCGCTATCTTCCAATGACCAATTCACATGTTTCCATGTGAAATGAAGCCTGGCCACTTTCTGAGCCATGGTAAGAAGAGGTCTGAGTAGTGCCCTGGTTGCTGGGCCCTGAGTTATTTTCAGTGAGCCTTCTTCTTACAGTCCAAGTGAAACATTTCTGACTTGTCTTATCAGATTTCTTATCTCATTTCCCGTAATGCTGCGGTTTCGTATAACCTGATGACGGATGAATCCATCGTCTCTCTCATCTGCAGACCTAAGTCGACCTTGTCCTGGCCTTCTAGTGTGAAACCCCGTATCTCTGAAGCACTGAAGACCTATTGTACAACTTCGTGCTGGTTCTATCCTTCCTCAAATAATGTTATACCCCTGACACTGCCATACTCACTCAAATGCCTGACTGGAGCCATTGAAAAAGTTTAAGAATATGAATAAGAATAAAATCAAATTAAATCCACAAAGGAAAAATATTAACTGAAAGCGAACTTTATGAGTAGCAGAGTGAAAGGGCATAATGCTACTTCTTGTGCAAATAGTATTAACCAGTACAGAAGTAAACAAAGCATTATTTACTGTTTATTTTGATTATGATAGCTCCTAATTACCTGTACCTAATGTAGAAAGAAATGAATTTAATTTTAAACTAAATAAAATGACTAGTGTGTTAAATTTGTGCATCAGTATAAATATATACATTTTTTTATTATTTCATCATTTTAACACCAACCCTGGATGATATAGTTTTTAATTAATTTTGAATATACTTTTCATTGCAGAGTGAAATGGATTGTGACATTCTGACTTACAATAATAGCAATTGTGATGATAATTTTGATGTAAGTAGAATTAAATTTTAAAGCTGTTTCAAACGATGATCTTTTATATGTAATATAACCTAACCTATCCCTAACTGTACTTAACCTAATCTTACCCATCCCTAACTCTAACAGTACCTAACCTAACCCATCCTTAACTTTAACCATACTTAGCCTAACCTAACCAACCCCTAACTTTAACAGTAGTTAACCTAGCCTATCCCTAACTCTAACTGTACTTAACCCAACCCTAACTCAAACCATATTTATCTTAATCTAACCCATCCCTAACTCTAACCATACTTAACCTAACCTGTCTCTAACCATAACCTTAACTCTGATCAAACCTTTCTCTATCCATGTTAACTGGTAATGAGCAACCCTTGATGCAAAAAAATTTGTGTATCAAGTCCAAAAACACTGTGTTCCAATATTTTTGACACAGATAGACCAGGCAGTTAAATGAAAAATTAATTTTGGTTATGGAATGTGCAATTTTTTAAAACTCATTTGATAAAATGGTATTATCAATTATAATTTTTCATGGTTAAATTATTTAACAAATTATGACAATTTATCATTTTAGAATATGTCGGATAATGATATGAATGAACAATTGCAAGATTCATACAGTTCTACCTGTACAGACGATCAGGTAAAAACTGCATTTATCACAAATTAAAATTACTTTTGAATGGAGTAAATCAACTGTTTATTAGAATTTTGTTAAATTAACATTTTAGTTGTAAAAGTAATCAGTTTGTTTTAAAACTGACATTTATTTTTATTTATTTTATTATTTTTTGTTAATGTTTACAGCAATTTTCAAGAGAACACCCAAATTACATAAATAACCAGGTAGAGGTTGTGAGCATGTATTCCATATGCGATCGGGTAATTAATAATATTGACTTTATCTCTACTTCTCTTGATGTTATATTTATTTATTTTTTGTATATTTTATCCCAGCCATCGAATGTTGGGATGAGTGATCAGCAAGTAGTTGTAAATGATTCTGCCCGTAATAAGGTAAACTCATTTCATCTGGTTATGAATAATGGACCATGAATAAAGAATAATAATAATACACCATTGCCTTCTGTTATAGACAAACAAGATGGGCAAAAATAAAGTATACAATGATTTCTTGGCATACAAAACAGGCTTACAACAAGAATCTAAGGTAGATTTTTTTTTTTTTTTTTTTTTTTTTTTTTTTTTTTTTTTTTTTTTTTTTTTTTTTTTTTTTNGCCAGTAAGCTAGTTTGATTTTGAACTTAAGCAATCAACCATGAATCCACTAGGGAAATGTAGTATAATTTCATATTAATTTCACAAATGTTTGTAATGTATGATGACAAAATGATGATATCAATTACTAAGTGCAGCAAATTTTTGACAAACCATTGAAAATTTGTTTAGGGTGTTTTCCGATTTTCCATATTTACATTTTATTATTGTATTGACTAATGTTTCCAACTCAATTATTTTTTTATGATGCGTTGTTCTTTTAAGTTATTAAGAATGAAGATGACAACTTTTCCATCTCAAACAAGACCTTACATAAAAAGAATAATTAATTGAAGTAATTAAGAATAAATTAGCTGCTATTCCTTCTCAGTAGTGTTTGAACATCTTTGCAGTATACAGAGTTTTTTAAAAATATAAATGTTATTGATATGGCGCTTAACTATTCAGCTATTGAAAGAATCAATGCAAAGGAGATTATGCTGCTGCCATATCTGGAACACTACCCATGCAGAAACCATTATCCTTGCCACAAGATAGTTTTAGCTGGTTGTTAAAGCTAGGGAGAAAAGTTTGACTTGGAAAGTAATGGGAGGATTGCAATCTATGCGACATAAAGTTAACAATAATCCTAATGTTAACATTCGACAAATATCCAGGATGATGATGCTGATGATGAGGAGTATACTAGAAAATGGTGGTTTGGTATTAAGCAAGCACTAGCTTTTTGGCTTATTGTTCTTTCTTTACTTACTTCATTTCAATTCACTCTTCTTTTAAAAATAGGCTAATGATTGTTACTGCAATTCTTATTCTCTGGTCTTTGACAGTACCATAGGTTAGATAGTTACCTACTGTCAGTAAGAACTATCTTTTTAAAAATATAGCACCATAGGTTATGTCTCCATTGAGCGGTTGCTTTGCATTCGAAGATATGAGTGGCAGTTTCTTCTTCCCCATTGCATAACTTACAAATGTGGTCATCATTGAATATATTCATGTTGTGTTGTGTTTTCTCAGATGCCAATGACACATATAAAGCCCTATTACTACCCTAAGTTTTACCCTGGCTAACTGTAGCTGTGTCAGTTTTGGCAAGAGTTATTCAATCACTGTCAGTGTTTATTGTGTCTGATACCTCTGAGTTCATCCACTTATTTTGCTTTTTGACCCATTCTGGGATGGATGAGTCTATGATTGATCTTATTATCCTAAATACATGTACTGGTTCTATATATGGTCATACAGCTCTTCCTTTGGCCAGTCTGCTTGTACATTACCCAAATTTTGAGCCCTGGCACACAAGATATAGTCAGGTTTGGAGATTTTGGATGTGATGTTTTTAAAATCTTTTTGCAAATGCTTTTAGGGTTTTTTGGTCTTATGAGGAATTTTTTGTCAGTGAAACCTCTTTTAAAATTTTCTGAAGTCCAAACATTGATAATATTTCAGCCTGAAAGATTTACATATACTTCCCTCTTTAGTTTGATTGGTCATATTTTAAGTTAGCCCAGAGTATACCCGACATGGTTCCTTTGCTGGTTTGTAATCGTTTGTATATTTCTTTCTTCTCCTTTATAGTCTGTTGACATTTTATAGGGTATTACAAAGGACATTTCTAGAATGGGTGTCTGAATTTATCTGCTATTATTTTGTGCTCAAAATGTTTAACCCCCATCTAATTTTCCTTAAAAGTCTGTCCTTTTTACCTTTTTATTGCATATATGCTTCAATGTGTCTCGATGGCAGCTTATGTTGTCATTTCCCTTGCAGTGTATAGATTTACACAATTGGTTTTCTTCCCTACCGCATATCTCTACCAACATTTCTTCTGTAGATAAACACAAAGTTCAGAGTTTTGTGGATGGGCGAGTCAGGATGCAAGAGTCAAATCTTAGTTTCTCCAGAAAAATTTTACTGTCAGAAGAACCTACTCTACTACATTTGTTTAAAACAAAATAAGATATAATTTCTAGAATAACTAATTTGAACTAATTAATAAAAATATTGTCTGTATGTTGTTTGTCATACATGTATGCAATTTTTTTACAGAAAGAAAAAAGAATAAATAAACCAACAGTAAGTAGAAAATGTGTAATGTTTAATATGTAAATGTATGTTTGCTTCTTATTTCTCTTGTTCTGTACATTGGGTATAAATAATACATTTTATTAGTAAAAGCTCACTTCATTTTCCTAGGACTAAAGGTAGGAATGAGTTTCGAATTTTCCACATCAAAGCGCAATTTTTGCACCTTTCCTTAATTTTAAAAATTCGAATAACTGAGTGGTGGAGTCTCTGGAAAAATTCTAATTTAGGAAGGTGTTTTTATGTTTTGGGCAACGCTTTATTTTTGTATAAAGAATCTAAATTGATTTTAAATTACAATTAATTAAGGTTTTTAGTTGAGATAAGAAAGTCAATGGCACAAGTGGGAATCGAACCCTCTCGCGCAGCCAAATATTGTGGGTTCGAATCCCGCTCGTGCCATTGACTTTTTTATCTCAACTAAAAACCTTAATTAATTGTAATATATTAATTGGTCAAGCGGACCACGAAATTAGTGAATTTACTGATTTTAAACTTGATTTTTATTTCTGCATTCGTCCAATCCACAGTGCTTCTCTCATCTGCAATTTTGCATTACTGTAAGACACAATCAATAACGCTGGTAGGATTTTAGGTATCATCAGATTACACATTCAGAAACTGAGGAGTCTGCTTTACTTTATTGAGAAAATTTATTTTTCAAATTGTAAAATTTTCTGACCAACAAGAACCACACAACACTTTAACAAACTCATAATCGCTATTTTATATGTGATATTATTAATAATACAAAATTAACAAATCCTTGTGAATACTGGTTGTATAACTCTTACTAAAAAAGTTATTTTGTGCTCCAGGCAGGTCGTAAGACCGAACAACAACAGCAGGTCATGGACGAATCGCAGAAAGTAATAACCATGGGTGATAAAATGTCTTCAGGACGAGTAAGTTTTAGTACTCTATCAGAACATCAAAACCTGACATCCACAAAATGTGGTAGTAATATTTTTACCTGTCATATATTTTTATTATTCCAGATGCCTAGAGCAGTGCCTCAGAAACGTGCTATTGGAGTGAGAGACGGAAAAAGTCAGGTTAATAAATTTGATATTTATGAATTAAAAACATGTTTGGATTAAATTAAAAGCTTACAAATTTCTAATATTAACTTGTAACTATGATTTAATAAAATAAACTGTCTTAATACACTGAATTCTTGGGACATTTCCTCTTGAGGTGTTCAGGGTGATGGACAGAATCACCAATGATTATTTGGAGATCATGAGGTGCGGTCTGGTGTGACGTAGGTTTTAGAAAAACATTTTTTTATCATGCCAACGTTTCAATCTTTATTGAGATCATCTTCAGGGCTCAAAGTGTTTTTTTTCCATGTAGATGTGTCATTCTTGTGTGTCGTATTGAGAGTGCAAATAATCATTGGCTAACGGCTAAATATTTCAAAACACATAAAATTACGTCATGAATTCAGACACAACTACAATATGAGAAAAGAGAAACATACAAATCAATAACAATCCAAGCACTTGCAATGGCAAAAAATTATTGGAAATGACCAAACTAGAGTTTAATCACCTAACAGGCCTGAAGAAGAAATAGCACAATAATATAATTGAATTCAGGCAGACAAGGATGTGCTTCTGGATGATTCCAATTTCAAATTCAATAAGAAATTTCAAATCAAAATACCCGAGCAAACTGGGTGAAAATGATCTCAGTTAATGCCAGCTATATCTGGTATAATGTTGGCTCAAAAACTATGGGTCAGGAGTTAGTATCTATGGAAATAAACCAATTCTAGTTTATAAGCCTTGGTCAATATGCCATTGTCTTTCAGGCTTAGGTTGTGGCTATTGAACATTGCCAGGAAGATTAAAAGGCTGGGTATTACCAGCAAAAAATAGACAGACAGCCAGGTGGCACTTCTTGATAATAAAATTCAGATCAATTTAAGGATTGCATCAAGGCCCTGTTAGGGGAAACCCAAAACTACTCTTGTCTGGGTACCAGGGAATACAGGGTTAAGGCCGATAAATTGCCCAAAGAAACTACGATCAGTACACTTATCTGCCCTGAATCATTTTGCGGCATACTAAATTGCAAAAACATAGATCCATTAGACAATGGGTTAATAATAAGGCCTGCTTAGTTAAAAGTAAGGTTAAATGGGAATACCAGGAAAGAGGTGTGTGAAAAAGTTCACCAAAGGATGATAGAAGAACTACTAAACCTAGGACGTATTAGGACTAGAATGATAATACAACTTCTGACTGGACACAGCAGACTCCATATGTACAGACTTGGAGCAGAAAAACACTGCAGATATCACCAGGAAAAAGAAACAACTGAACGTGTTTTATGTTAATGTGAAGGACTATAGGGTCTTTTTAGGTCGAAAAGAGGTCAAGTCCTTTTAAGCTTTAATATAACAATAGAAAAAACAGAATCAAATAGTTTTGACATCATGATCAGGACTAATATTAAACTGTTCTGTGATGACTTTCCTGGGAAAATGTTAATTCATTTTGTCGTTTTGCAGAAACAGAAAAAAGGTTGCGACTCACCACCATCATCTCCTAGAGTAAGCATGACCATATTCAATTCAATTACATTTTTTATTTTGACTGTATTCATTAAGCAAATATAACTCATTGGTGTATCATGCATTTATTATACAATATCTGTCACTAATGTTTGAGAAAATTTAGATTTGTCCATTTCAGCAAATAGTAGTCTAGTAAGAAGACTCTGCAGACAAGAGTTAAAATGTCTTTGTGACTAGTAATGAAAAAGTTAGCAAATTAGAATAGGTTCATGGAAAGTTTTGCTCATTAATGGCCCAGTCGAAATTTTCTTTGACATACAATTAGTAATGCCAGCAGATGATAAATAAAATACAGTTGAACTTCCCCAAACGGACCTTTCTAATAGCTAAACGTCCCTCATACTGGACAATTTTATTTTCCTAGCATTATTCCATTTACTTTGTTATAACATGTTCTAATAAATGTACATAGATGCTACATTTATAGATTTTTAAATGAAAAGTCTTTTATGAGTGGACTGAAGAAAGAAAACAATTCAGGGTTTCACAATTGACAGATGGCTCTTATGTGTTATTTGCAAATGTTGGGGAATTTTCAAACCGATTTGGAGATGAGTGAGAAAAAAATTCTTTCCCTCAAATAAAACCCTGTCATAAAATTCCACGTGAAAGAGAAAATTCTTCAGACACTTCTAATAAGCAGAAAAAATCGTATTTCTTAGTGGTGTCCACTTAAGGGAAGTTCAATTGTAATTTAATATTAAAAATTCTGGAATCACTTCTGTGACTAAAAGTGAGCAACTAGCTCATCAACTGCTGTAATTACATATTATGACGTCCTTAAGTCCTTATATAAGACTACATAAGTTTAAAATAATGGATATTTGTGAAACTTTTGCTTTGGATTCTATTTTTTTTTTTTTTTTTTTTTTTTTTTCAGGGCATGAAACAAGCTCCTGTGAAGCAGTCTAAAGGGAAAAATAAGGTATAATGATTACAATTTCTAAAATGAGCCAAAGAGAGATAACTAAGATATCTAATATTTTAGTTAATTACATTATTAATTACATATATCTATGTTTTTTTTATGATGTGTAATAAATTTGTCCAAAGAACAATGCAATTTGTTTAATATTTTGAAAATAGGGTGTTTTTCCTTGTTAAACCTGAACAACCAATCAGACATATTGGGTTTGAAACTATTCAAGCACCTTGCTAAGAAGATGTTAGTACATACAAATTAAATTAGCTTGTTTACTCCCCTACTAACTGCACATATTCACTTCCCGAACTAATTGCGCATGTCCACTCTTGGCAATGCTTATCTGTTTTTACAAAAGTTGTACAATTTTTTTTTTAGCCCGCTATAAAATATATGCTAAAAAGGACACTTTTTGTTTCATGGGCAAGAACTGCTGCCAAGATCCTTTTACCAACCCTGCATATTAAAAGAAATTTTTGTGGTTCCATCAATAAATTGTCAACAACTTTTTTCATTGTTCGTTATCTCGCCATTTCCAAATAATTCTTTTTTGGAGGCCTTAGCATGTTCCCATAACTATGAGTCCCCAATACCAATAACCCAGGTCCTACGATGGCAGCAGAATCAGAAAACCAGACCATTTGCAATTATATCTTTGTCCCTCTTTTAGCAAGGCATCTGATGATGGATGTGCTTTCTCCCTCTGATGTGTGTGGTGATACATCCAATGCAGCCGGTTGGAAATTTTAACTTACCCCTAGAAGTTTAGTCAGTACTCCAAATGCAGGATCAACCCTCAGTCACAAGTGTAGACCTTTTTTAATACACTTTAAACTTCAAAATCTCAAGAGCTCAAAGTAGTATCGAGATTAAATGGCTATGCAATTATACCAACAGTCTGATCAAAGGTTACATTTTTTGGTTTTAAGTATTTAGAGAACATTTCATTTTCCAGGGTATCCACAGTTTGGCATCTCTCGCATAAAGACGAATCTTTTAGTCCAAAATGATATAGATAAACATTACAATCTTAGATGATAAATTGAGTGAAAGAAAGCTTTATCCAGCCTTAAACCATGGGACTGTAAACTTCACCACTTTTTTTAGTTCTATATAATCTTTTCCTTTGGTGGTCTCTCTGTTATTAATTTGATCCGTAGGATTTGGTTTTCTTAATATTCTTTGCTTCTCATTTAGTGGTAAGTTTATTTTTACATCCATTCCATTTACTGTCGCTTTTTTCCATTACTTTAATCCCAAAATGTTCTTTGATCCAACCAAAGTTTATCCATTTACCCTGATCATGTAGTCTATACAACCAGCATAAAATAGAAATACTTATAGTATACACACTTTACTGCATACCCATTCTGCACCACAGATTTCGTCATTACTAGGATACTAGGAAGTAGGGTTTGTGCTTCCCAGGCACTGCAGCCTTTCGGCTTATTGTACCTTGCTTTTATTTCATCATTAAGTTTCTACCCATCCACATAAAGGCAAACATAACCAAGCAAAAATGTGTCCTAGCCAAATTGGTTGTCAGTTTCTCCTGTCTAGTGTAGACCCTTTCTTATATTATCACAGATCATTTTTATTCAAACTGTCCTTATTTTCTTCTCACCTTTTGCCATTGTATGATTAAATAGAAGAATTAATTACAAATAGCTATAATTCAATAAACTATTATTTATTAATGGATTGGTTTTTGTTCTTTCTTAGCCAACTAACGTTGACCAAACGATTTTACCACAACTGCCAACAATATGCGTAAGTAGTTCATTCAAAATAAAACTGAGAATAAATAATTACCAGAAGTTATAACTTACAGGAGGATGGCCAAGAAATGTATTACGACCAACAGGCCATATACGCAAACAATGTATGTACATTTGACAATTAATTGTTTTATTAAATTCAAAAGTCATAGTAAAATAAAGCAATCGACTTAGAAACTCTTAAGATGTAATTCTGCCTAGTCTAGTTATAAAAGCCAAAATCTTGAACTGGACAAAGTAGAATACTTGAAGTGGGAATACTTTCAATTTGTAATGTATTTATTACTTATTTATTAGTGTGAGCATATGTAATGAAGGGTCGATACTTTGTTAATGCTCGAAAAGTCATTTGCATAACAAATTTAATATGAATGAATTTAATATTTAATATGAGATTTATAAGAGGCGTTTTGTATTGCAGTTACCTTCACAACAGATGATGTTCAGGGGTGGAAAACAAAAAGCTAGAAAAGACGTAAGTATTTTTTTCATTTTACTTGTTTTATAAAATTGGTATTTTGTGATTTTATTTCTCCTTGATATTTGCTCTAGTTTAAGTGTCATCATTTTGTCAACATTAGGGATAGCTGACTATAGAGCTTTTTGCACGTTGACCTGAAAAGATCCATGTCTCTCTATTTTTAGAGCTTACTAACCAGCTTTGACTGTTAATGAGTCATAAACTTGAGTTTGTATAGCCTAGTAGTTCTTTGATCTATTTGCGGTTTTTCCTCACCTAGCACTAGAAACATATGCTTGGTTAGACCCCCTCAATATTAGCACAGAATGTGTTTTGTGGTCTCTTCCTCTTCTTGGCAAAATCTGCACAATAATTCTGGTAATCCCATTTAGGACATATGCCTTCTCAAGCAAGCGTGCCTAATCAGTAGACAAAAATCCTTTTATCCTTCAATAGTTCTTCTGTCCACTGGGAATTTGATTAATAAAGGATCCACTTTTTAATGTGTCACATTTTATGGCAAACTAGTGCCCCACAATGGGGTTTGATGTCTGGGTATTCATACTGATTGAACTCTTGGTATATCGACCATTCCATGCAAATCCAGACTTTCTGCCTATTTGAGGTCCAGCAGACCCCACCTAGTCACAGTACAACATGATACTTTTATTTTTAAATTGTTGGCAGTAACATTGCATATTCCTTTATCAGCACAAGCATCATCATTAGAGACTATCAAATGCCATCTTAAAGACAATGTATTCTTGAAGTAAAGCTAGACTTCACTTAGAACATTTTTCAGCATTACTTTCATTGTAATTATGAGGTTGGTTGTTTTCTCAGGAGTACGAATCTCTGAATGTGCCTGCTCACAAAAAGAATATATGTTCCACAGATTTTTCTTTCTGGCAATATGTACATGGTTGTTTCTATTACGCTGAGTCTATATGCCCCTGGAGTTAGTAGTATCCAGATAGCAATCTTACTATCATTCTAATACTAACCCATCCTAATTTAGTTGTTCTGCCATTAGTCCTTGTATCAACTTTTTCCTGGGATATATTCCCATAGTACTGAGGATTGAGCACGTTTTCATTGCCACCAATTTTTTAGACATACTAATCTTTGCAGTTATCATGCCTCTTTTCTGTTTTTGGCCACCATACTAAAGCTCCGTAAGGGACCCATAATTTTTTTCTATGTCTTTTCCAAAAACTTTGAACTTCATGAAAATGTATATAGTCTCTTTGAAATGCCTAAAATATAACACATATATGTTTTTAGGCTGGTCACACATATTTTTTTCAGTTTTTGCATCATCGATTTCATGTGACTGGAGAGTGCAAATACGTCATGTTAGGTTAAGTCTAACCTAATGTTTTTTGTGATGAATGACATCCAGTTTTGTCATTTAGAAACAAAACTACCATTTCTGTTTATAGTTTATCACCAGGTTTCATTATAACACTGATAATGACTGTTTTTAAAATGTCAAATAGTAGAAAAAACATTGAATCATTAAAATGTAGCCTAACCCGTTCATAATTCTACCTTACCTTACATGTCCCTAACCCTAATTGACGTAACCTAACCTGGTTCGTAACTCTAACCATATCTGGCTTAACTTTTCCAGTCTAAACCTTACCTAACCCCAATTCAGATGCACTCCTCGGTAACGATGATGGTCATGCAAAAAATTGTGTTTCTAGACCAAAAATATATTCCTGATAGTTAAAATATTATCATCATAATTGATCACAAATTAAATTTGGTACTTGTGGATATTCTCCACCTGAATTGTTATTGGGTCTTCGAATTTGTGCTGTATCAATCACTAGTAGCCATTTGGGCATGTCAAGAGGTTTGTTTATAGTATAGACTGACTGTATATCAACCTCATCAACTTGATTTCACATCGATCTTTTAATTACACGAAAGGATGAATGGAATATTCAATTTGTCCACAGTTTGATAGTCTTTCTCCGCCACCTTAGTTTTTAACTATATTTGTCTTTTTTGTAGCTTCCATAAAAGTCAGAAAAAGGTCCATAATTATTGATGCATATTGATCCAAACAACATAATTATTCTATTCAATGTTTTTGTTTTGTTTCACAGTTACCTGCACAGCAGATGATGTTTACTGATGGACAAAAAATTCAAACCGACGTAAGTATGCTCATATCACTTTTACTTCATTTTATTGCAATGTTTTTACATCTTTATAACATTTATCCAACATTGCTTATACTTATCTTTTCAAACAATGTGAAATAGGACATTTTATTAGTATCCTTATTCTTAATGTACAGGCAGTCTCAATGAAGATATCCCTACTAACCTTCTCCAATTTTGTTTTGATTTAGGCCAGATTTTATCTTAAAATAATTTTCGCAAAGTTTAGTTTATTGAAGTATGATTGGCTTCAACAATAAAACAGAGTTACTCTGTTGCCGTTTTACTTTCAGAATTCTTTGGACGGTATTGTCGAAACTGATAATACTATGATAACCAGACAACCAGGGACACAACGGTTATAGCGTTGAGCACTGTGAGGTTCCTGGTTTGAATCATAATGTTTACACTACATGCCATTCAAGTCCAAGCGGAACTAGACAGACCTATATACTTGAACATCCTCCTAATGCCTTCCCTCCAAACAACATCAAACGTAATACCAGGAAACACCCTCCACCAAATTCTAAAACTTGTATAACTCCATCCTAAGAACTACCTGTTGGCAATTAGCCTCAATTATCTTAAAATTCAACAAACTATTGCACTATATATCCTTCTATTGCATTATAAATATCTATCCTTTTATAAGATAAATCCTTGAAAAACTTACTATGACATCTTTATCTTGTACTTCATTTAAGCTATTAACAGTTCAGTTTTTGACACTTTCCCTGTATAGTCCAGCAATGCCACCTTTGAAAAGAACAGTACTGCCTGGCTGTCATTTGTTGTTGCTGGATGCTGGTACAGAAACACAAAACGAAGACTCCCCACCACCTACTACTACATCCTAAAGTCCTACCTTGATACTAATGGGTGATGTTATTCTCCCTCACTCATCCATTCTATCTGAGCAGGAGTCCCCACGAAGTCCTATCCTTGACTTAATATGTACAATACTGATACTGGTAATCCTGTCCATCTATGATCCTTACCCAACCATTCATTCTCTACAGTCTAATCTTACTTTCACCATGACTTCAATATTCCTTATGTTCCCCATACCTGGGTCAAACAAATTTAACTCCTTGCTCACTGGTCATCCCACTCCTTTAGGAACACAGCTTTCCTAAGCCTCACTTCCTGATAGCACTCAATGTCGAATGAAACACCAGAGGTGCCATTATTTCATGCTAAGCTAGTGCTAGCAATATATCATTTTTCAAAAAATCTTGGGTTTTCCGAATGTTGTATGATTATTCTTTTCCCTTATGCCTTTGTATAAGAGATTTTGTGTGTTTCAGATGTCTTCGCAACAGATGATTTTTGTTGGTCATAAAGTACAGAGTGAGGTAAGTATATTCATGTTAGGTGGTTTTTATTTAATCTATTAGCAATTTATCTACCACATTAGCCAAGCCAGTACTGTATGTTATTGAAAATATTTTTTTATGGGAGAGGGAGGAGTCAACTATTGCAGGGGCCACCATAGTAATTGGGTCTACGAGCCATGAGTCTGTGTTCTAACCACTCAGCTACTGCAGTCCCACCAACTTTAATCTTTAAATTATACAAATTAAAATTATTGGAATATGCATTAAAGTTTACTGCTTTTTGCCAGCAGTCTGTCCTTTGCCACTCATGTCCAACTATTCCCCACAAGTTGGGTTGACCATAGGCTAGATGGGATTGAGGATACTAGGATGTTGGGGTTTGGTGTTCCCTAAGCACTGTAGCTAAGGCTTATTGTACTTTACCTAGCTCGTTAGTTCAATCCAGTTGACTTTTCTATTAAGAAGAAGAAGGTCATTGACTGTTGCTGCATTTCTTTTAACCGAGTCATCTCGGTACCCTGGGTTATGTCTCTCAGTTGCATTGCATTGGATGATAATATGAGTTTCTTCCTCCTCATTGTATAACCTAAAAATGGGGTTATCGTCCAATATGCATGTGTTTTCCAGATGAGTATCACTCTTAAGTTTCACTTTATCTAGGAATGTGGTTGCCAGTTAAAATGACGGTTCTATATCCATAAGTTTACTGTTTACTGGCCTTATAGTCGGTTCACTTCTCTTTTACGTGTGTGACCTTGTTCTGGTCCTATAAATGGTCTTCAATCCTCCCTGTCCAGTTTGTCTGCTCATTACCCAAAATTCCCTTATGCCCTCCTAGCAATCATATTTTGAGAACAGGACAACCGATTAAACCAGGGATCCTTTTTCAAACCATATTTGCATGTTTCACATCATAGTATTAGTTACGTGCTTAAGTATTGTATCCACCAATGTGATTACCTGAAGTATCTGTAATTTTTTAGGATTAAAGACTTTACATATTTCTGTCCACTTCTCATCACTAGGCATTTATCAATTTCAAAGGGGGGATTTTCCTCCATTCAGTCTCGAAGCTTGATCCAAGCTAACGTGTTTTTGTTTGAATGACATCCAGTTTTGTAATTTATAACTGAAACTAGTTTTATTGTTAATAGTTGATCACCATGTTTCGTTATAACACTGGATAACAACTCTTTCAAAAAGTAGCTCTTCTGAAGCTATCCATTTTTTCCCCTTACATCGTGGATGAAACTTGTACTCTGGTTTAACCTAGTCTGTCTTTTACCCTAACCCAAACCTAGCCTTAATTCTACCTAACCTGTCCCTAACCCTGATCCTTTGTAACCTAACCCAACGTAGGCGCATTTCTGATAACTCAAAATGGATGATATGAAAATGGACAAATCTATATTAATTAAAATAATCCCATAATAATTGACCACAAATGTAACATTCTTGCCTATTTTCTTTTAGCCTATATGTCCTGAAACGAAACGGAGGCCTTCTAGAAATATAACGAAGATAACTTCCAAATCGGTGAGTCAATCTTTAAATTCTGCTGAGACCAAATAGGATGGAGGATTTAATTTACTTTAAAAAAATCAGTCCTATCTTTATTATGTACAGAGACGTACGTGCCCCTCTGCAAGTTCGTGCAGTTCTGCAAACCTCCCACTTTTTTTAATGTTAAGAATTTAGCTTATGAATATATTTAGGCCCTAGTCCTGCTGCATGAAAAGTTTGTTTTTTATCCATAATCCCATGTAAATGCATCACTAATCCACTGTTCTGTTTCCAGTATGAACCAGGTTTTAAATATAGTAAATAAGTAAAGACACACAATAATTATTCATAGATAAAAATCATCCCAGGAATATAATTCAACATTAAAAGGAAAAACATCTGCAAATAATTTTATATAACGATAAAGTAGTTACTAAATCACATAAACATCTCTTCAGCAAAAAATAACGTAACATCAAATATTCTAAATCCTGGATTTTATTATTTATCCATTTAATTTGCCACTAGATCAAATAAATCACATATTTTTTTAAAAATCTGTAATGAACTAAACAATAATTTAAATATGTACGTATAAACGCACATAGAAATTTAGGAATATAGAATATAGAAATGAGGATAATACATTTTATATGCCAAACCTTTTACATAATACCTCATATAAAGAGGAAATCATCTCAAATTTTTTTTTAACATAAATTTTCTTCTTTTTTATATTATTTCTATTTATGAAATTTTAGATAGATGATTTATAAATTATTTTTATGCTTCTTATTTCTATCATTAGGCCAGATTATTAAAATGTTTTGGCCATTGAATTGAACTAATTTGAGCTAATGACCCAAAAATATAAACAACGAGTTAGGCTGCCATTAAGTGATTTTTTATTTTCAGATGCCAGGAAAGAAAATGTACGTAAGAAGTTAATTTCTGCGGGGCATAACACAAAGGAGAATGATAATAACGAAGAAGCAAGGATAACACTCACACCTTAAACACTAATAAAATAATTACATAACATTGTCGTGTCTTTACTAAACTTGGTAGATAATAAATTCTGCAAATTTGAAAAAAGCCCAGTTGATTGATAAAACAATTAAAAAACATAGACAAAATTTAAATCAAAAGGTTTGGAATGTAACAACTGAAAACAAACTTTCCATGCAGCATGCACTTATATTTTATTTGTTTTATGTTGTTTTCTATCTTTTACATGTTACAAAATCCTTAGGTGTAATTTTCAACTTGAATCTTTCTACAATTTATGGCTAGAATCATCAGCATACACCTGATATAAAATCCTTGACAAAAATTGTCTGTGGGTCCACTGTATCTTGTTGTGTGTGTTGTGTGAATGAATGTATTTATTAGAATGAATGTGTAGTGTAAGAGAGCCGATGGTGGAAAATTGAGAACCCATCGACCCTTGAGTCATATAATATTTATAAAGGGTGATGGAGGAATAATCAATCGACTACCTTACTTGAGTGAATGGTGTGTAAATAGGAAAAAATGTATTTAAAAATGAATGAGGGCCTGAGCTGTAACTGCCAAAACACTCTACATGGATGATTCTCATGGCATGCGGCAATAACTCATAACCTCAATTTTGTATATATGTATATTTTATGTATATGTTTATGTATGTTTGTGTATGTGCAGAATTGAGCTTATCAGTGTCATGCTATATTGATAAAAACTGTTGTCTAGATCTCAGAATACATTATACCCACCAGAAACATAATAGCTACCTTTGTTTCACATTAACTCCCTATCGGTACAATATTTTCTAAACTTAAAATATTTTTGTAAGCACAACAATTAATGATTCAAAAGATCAAAGCTGCAGATTAAAATATAATTAAATCATAAATTACGAATGGGTTTATAAAACAGTTGAGCTAGGACAAAGGAGAATAAATTTTCTTCATAAAAATTCTACCCCTGTCAGGAATATAAAATTTATTTAAAAACTATAGTTAAATATGCTGTTCAGTTTGATTGTGATTTGGGTTATTTGTAACAAGTGATTTTTGAATAATTTTATTTTTTGTTGTTGTAAGCCAAGCCTTTCTACTAACAAGGACCACTATGGATGTGGGATCACAGATTTTTTTATATATGATAAAAAATATTATATACGGGTCTGAGCATTCTTGCCAATGTGTCATAGGATCCGAGAAAAACTAAAACAATAAGTGAACCAAAACCAAGAGACCATTTTAGTAAAGTAGGCCAAAAAGATTTTTTAAAGAGAATTTGGTTTGTTTTGAAATGAACACCATGAATGAAACACCAGTGGTGCCATTATTTCATGCTAAGCTAGTGCTAGCAATATACCATTTTTCAAAAAATCGTGGGTTTTCCGAATGTTGTATGATCTTCTTTTCCCTTATGCCTTGTATAAGAGATTTTTTGTGTTTCAGATGTCTTCGCAACAGATGATTTTTGTTGATCAGAAAGTACAGAGTGAGGTAAGTATATTCATGTTAGGTGGTTTTTATTTAATCTATTAGCAATTTATCTACCACATTAGCCAAGCCAGTACTGTATGTTAATGAAAAGATTTTTTTATGGGAGAGGGAAGGGTCAACTATTGCAGGGATTGGGCTATGAGCCAAGAGTCTGAGCTTTAACCACTCAACTACTGCAGTCCCATCAACTTTAATATTTAAATTAGACAAATTAAAATGATTGGAATATGCATTAAAGTTTATTACTTTTTACCAGCAGTCTGTCTACTACTCCCCACAAAGTTGGGATGACCTTCTACTAACAAGGACCAGTATTATGGATGTGGGCTCTCACATTTTTTTTATATATGATAAAAAATATTATATACGTGTCTGAGCATTCTTGCCAACGTGCCATAGGATCCGAGAAAGAATAAAACAATAAGCGTACCAAAACCAAGAGACCATTTTAGTAAAGTAGTACAAAAAGTTTTTTTTAAAGACAATTTGGTTCGTTTTAGCAGCCTTTAAAGTAGATAAATACATATTTTCATAGCAAAAAAAAATAGACATTTTTGGGCTGGATTGCCAGGGGGCAATTTTTCCCCCATATTGTCAGGTGTTCCACTTAAAAATTCATAACGTGTTTTCTAATTGTATTTAAATTCAACATCATTATAATTGTTGGAAAGCTGAATTTCCCTTCTTTCAGCCTATTTCATCAATGTTCAGATTGATTGACAGTTAAAAATAGAAAAATAAATATGAAATCAACCAAACCTCATCAAAAGTTTTATTTTATATCTGTGGTTCTGATTAATTAATGCAAACCAGATTTGCATCATTACATGTTAGCCATGCAATGATAACGGTGCCAATCTAGCATCACCAAAAAAAGTTTCAAATTAAAAAGCTGAGTATTACCAGTAAAAGAATAGCTATCTACTTGGACCGCAAGGTGGTACCTCAATTAAAATCCAGAGCAATTTAGGGATTGCATCAAGAGCCTGTTAGGGGATACAACAAAATCATCGTTGTCTGGGTACAAGGGCTGAGGGGCTACGAGGAGGCTGATAAATTGCCCAAGGAAAGTACAAACCTATCAGCCCTGAACCCTTTTGTAGCATAGAAAATTGCAAAAACGTAGATCCATTAGACAGTGGGTTAAGAATAAGTCTTCCTAAGTTATGAGAAAGTCCTTTTAACTTTTAAACTTGAATAAAATAGCAATAATTTTTTTTAAAATCAAATAGCTTTGACAGCATGATAGGACTAATATTAAAAATGTTACGTGAGGACTTTCCTGAATGTTAATTCATTTTATCCTTTTGCAGAAACCGAAACCACCTCTACCTGGAGTGAGCATAACCAATATGAATTTTTTATTTGCATAATTTTAGTTTTAAGTAAAAAGTTTAGTTTTAAGTAAAAGTTTTGTGGAATTTTTTCCCTACTTTATTTCCCATGTCTTTTGGATTTTGTAACTTTGTTTATATCTAATATCAATTAGATCAATTAGTACACGCATATTACTTTTTTATCGTGCATAATCATATAAATGTATGACTTTTTGGAAAATTTTTATTTTTGTTTGCCCTTTTGTAGAAGCCGAAGGCAGTGCCACCTCCTCCTAAGGTAAAAATAACTGATAGTCAATCCACTTGCATTCTTTTAGTTTAAATTATAAGTGTTTTCAATGTGTACAAATACACTATATTTCTGTGACAAATTACCAGAAGATACTTTATAGCCATTGTACCCTTACATTGTAATTTGAAATGATTAGGATTGGCCACGCAAAAATACTCCCTTATAGCCACAATTTATTTACACCATTTGTCAAAAAGTCAAATAAACTCCCATATTTTGCAATAGATTTCTATGACATATACCAAGAAATAAAAACAGGTAACATTACCATTCCCATAACTCATGAAAGGGCTCTACCATCTAAGAAAGCACATGCACTGGATAGGAGTACCCAGAGAAAAAATACTGTGCAGATCTGCCAGGAAGAAGAGGGACCGCAGAACATGTTTTATGATGCTGTGAGGGTTTTTTATGTAGGTGTAGATTTTGGCAACTAGGAGAGGAAAACCACAAGCAAGCTCCTACACTTTGAGCTGCTGGCAAAACTATGAGGTTGATTAACAATGTGAAGCTAGCCAGTGATTTATATAATTAGAGGAGCACAATAGATCTAATCATGTTGACGTGCAGAAGGCCTAGTCATCACCTATCTTATCCCTATTCCTATCCCTGTCATTCCCATGAATGTAAACTTCAATACCATCAACACCTTATTCTGAGGTGAATTGGAGGATAGAAAGTAAGCAAAGGATCAAAAATTGATGCTAAATAAAAATCTAATCTACACTAATATAAGCTGTTAACAAGGTTTATGTTTTAAGGCATGGTCAAAGCCTTCTCCACCTACACCAGTCATAAAAGACAATGGATGTATATTTATTAAAACATGTAAATACAAATTTCTGGAATTTTTTAAATGGGGATTGCAACCGTTTTTGTATAGTTACTTTTGTTTAAAGCCACTTCTACCCAGTTAATTTTTATTTTGATATCCGTCTGTTTTCCATGAGAGTCTGTAGTTTCTGTTTAACCATCACGCTCAAAAATGTTACCATTGCGACTCCCTTAATGGTCATTAAAAAATCGAGATATTTTTATAACCGACCAATACAGAAAATATAGATTTCAAAAACTAACAATTTCAACCAATTTTTAAAAAAATGGTCCCTAACTAATAATGGTGATTCTATCACTAAGGATTTATGTAACTGTTGTTAATAAGATTTTTTTTAAGGTAAAAGAACCAAGATCATGTTCTCCTGCAATTAAAGAAACGGTAAGTAAACAAATTAAAGATTAATGTGTGTAAAATACTATCAAAATTTGATTTTATACTCACATATTTTCTCTGCTTCACGTTAAATGAGAAATTAATGATAAAGATCATTTATGATCATCTGACCGGCCTAAGCAGCAAGGGTAGGTAAACCAAAACGATTGGCAACGGGCAAAAACAGGTTTCTCTGAGGGTCGGCAGAGTAATGAACTTGAATTTTAAAAACTCGTTTTGGTTTCTCGCCATCTTTAGACCCACCATTTAATCTGGTGAAATATGTATTACCATTATATGGCTCAAATCCAGGGCTGCTGAGAGTTGAATGTTCCTGGGACCTTTCATTGAATGTTGCCATCCTTAGGGGTTAAAAAATCCAGAGCAGATTGATCCCACCTCGGGGAGATTTTTATGACCTAAACTCTCATTTACCACTGTCAGTGCGCTTATACATAAACAGTATCCATATATATGCTAAAGATTATTGTTACCAAGTTTTATATTCTTTCAGGTACAAAAACCAAGATCATGCTCACCAAAAATAAAAGAAATGGTATGTATATAAATTAGACATTACTGTGTACTAATAAATGAGAAGGCCATGGTAGGATTACATTAAAACAAAAAACACAAATTAATGGTCACATCTAATATGCAACATTAGACCAACCCTAGTGGGTAGTTGGACTAATATCAGTAACAGCCTTCCTGCCATTAAGTTAGGTTAGGATAGGATAGTGATGGTATTAGGAAATTGGGGAGTTTGATATTGAAGCCTAAATAATGAAGCCAAGTACTTTTCCTAGTTTCTTAGTTCAGTTCAAATGTCGAGTTGTTGACTGGTGCTGCATGTCTCCATTGAGCTGGTGCTTCACTTTCGAAGATAATTAGACAGGCATTTTCTTCGTCCTCATTCCATAATGTACAAATGGGGTCATCGTTGGATATACACATGATGTGTATGTGTTTTCTCAGATGCCCTGCTGCATACCTATGGGTGGGACCATTATTCGTTTTGCCCATTTTAGTTGTAGCAATTTGTGTGCTAGCTTTGACGAGGACACATAGATAACTGTGCTTCTTAGAGAGTTTGTCCATTTCTCCTTTTGATTTGTGTAAACTTTTTCTCAACAGAGGGATTTTTCATTTGACCTCGCTCTGGACCTACAAATAGTCTTGCAGTTCCTCTTCTTGACATTTTGTCTGCTTGCTTAATGCCAAAAATTCCTTGTGCCCCTGGCATCCATGTCAGTGTCAGAATATTATATTTCAACAACTAGTTGGTTTGTGGTTCTATGGTGTGCTTTTAGGGCCATTTGGCTGTCTTTTGTTATGAGGATTTAGACTGCATTAGTGAATGCCTTTACAGTCGTCAAACCAAGAAGGATTCTAGAAGGTATTTTAGTGTGGTGGGTAGCCTTCATAAAAATGGAACAAAACCAATTAAAAATAGAAGATCACGATGGCTATTGTTGAATCTAGTTGTTGCCTAACTAGTCACTTATAGTTTGACTAAAATAATATAACTTTTATATAGATATGCTCATATTGTCTCTGATTGGTCTCAGACTACACAAATTTTAGCAATGAGTTGTGGTCTATGAATCTGACCTAGTACCTTTGAATAATGGTGCAGCATTATACCAATTGATAACTTTCCCTCAGATCGGTGGATTACTACTGTCGGTACAGATCCTCAAGGAAGTGGCTACAAAGCCTGTCACAGGATTATGCTCCTCCACACAGGTCTTCATTATCCAGATTTATGCTTTTTATTTCCCTGGCCCTCCAACAGTAGTTTGGTCACAAGTAAAGTAATTCCTATCATACAGGAGAGCTTATCTATGGTTCTATGCTTATAGTTACAATGTTAAGGAGCCCGTGTTTCCAATAACTCTGCACTTAATGTTTTTAGCATTTCTTAATAATAAAACACTAATAATATTCATAGAATCTCTGAAGACTTTATTTAATGATTGTAATTTTTTTAAAACTAATTTCAGACACCACAACCACGAGTGTGTTCACCTTCAATAAAAGAATCGGTACATACATTATTTATAAATTAAATGACCTATGAATAGTACTTTAGTTAATTGGATGCTTTATCTGCTTCCTTGTGGTAAGAAAAATAATAAAACTGATATAAGAATACTTAGTTGAGTATATAAGAATACTTAAATTAACCGATAAAGATACAGCCTTCTTGAAATTCATTACCATATATTTATATAAAATTTATCGTACATAACATGTAGTACATATTGTATGTTATACCTATCTGCATTCCATGTTTTAAGCATTATATACATTTTTTTAAGGTACATTCACCACGGCTATCTCCACCTAAATTCCAAGAACCAAAGGTATGTAAAGAAATAATGTGTCCTGTATACAGGAGAGATGACCTTTTCTTTCTTTCAAATCATTTTGTTATTTGTTATTATTTGCTTTTTTTCAAATCAAAATGAGCTTTATTCACTGCAACTGGAGTAAGGCATACCGGGCAGCCTGGATGTGCAGGGTGTTTATATTTTTTCATGACTTTTGGACTCTGAACACTATAATTACAGTGAAGTTGGAATGGAATGGAATAATAAAATTTTTCAGAAGGGAACCTGAAGAGACACCATTCAAAGTTGTTTCCAGAACCCTTGGGGACTGGTTCTGTGTCAGCTGTGCATCCCTGGCTGGATTCCTGTACTTCCTCAGGCGATTGTTGAATTATACTCCCACACAGGCCTTTAACTTTTCTATTATCAAATAAAATTTCAATTTTGAAGATTGTGCTAGGTGGTGGTGGCAGAAAGGAATTTCTATAAACCCTGTAAAACCACAGTTTTAAAACCAAAGAAAATAACATTCAACTTAACACCTTTAGTGTTTAAATGTGGTTGTTATTGAACATCTTGGAGTCATCATTGACCAAGAGCCGACATGGAATCAAAACCTAAGAGAAGCCACACACAAAGTCAAAATTGGCTTAAGATGGTACAAAAGTATATGTGTTTTAAACCTCAAAATGACCCTCTGCCTTTATACAAGAGACACAGGCCAATGAAAAGCTATGCGGGGAACTGCAACTGGGAGTAGAAAAGCTCCTAATTTGTGCACAAACGAAGACATGAGTATCACCATGAGAAACACTGATTTTATTGAACCTACCACCTCTATATATCTTATTCTAGGGAAACAAGAATGGTTTCATTTTTATGCAAGGACAGGCTCCTATAAGCCACACTAATTACAGAATAGTTATTACATTTTTAACCACCTCATACAGACCTATCTATCCTGAAGATCTGTATGAACATTTCTCACAAGCAATAGTGATCATACCATTTTTTCCATGGTCCTGATGCTCCTAGCCTTATGTGGAGCAGTGCTATTATTCAAGGGTATTAGTCTAGATTCTTCATCTTTACCCCTAAAATCAGTGCAGTCAGATGCCTACCAGATACAATACGAGCCAATACTCACAATCAAGAGCGCTCAGGGTGAGGATGGATGATGTTTCAATTTGTGTAGTAGCGCCATTATTTAAGGGTACTAGGCTAGATTGACTGATGACATCTCTCATCTACTACAACTACAACAGCCAAAGTCCAACCGGTCAGTAGGCAGCAATGGGGCTGAGGTGCATCAATGCTCTATTCATAAGCCATCTCCTTGATGTTAGTATTTCATCTCACCTAGTGCATTTGTATATTATCTATTCTCAGGACAGTTGCCTCTTTGTTTGGCTGCACATCCCTGAGATTGAACCACCTCGGCTCTGGGCAGGTGATAATCTCCATGAGTGGTGAGCTACAGTATCACCTAACAACAATCCGCTGGTCATGTTTCTTCTGTTCTATTCCTTTACAGCTCTTTATTTCTATTCTCTCAGACAGGCGTTTAATTGATAATATACCATTTGTTTAGTTAAGTTTTGAAAAATTACAATATGGAAGGTTAATCATTTGGTTTTTACAGGCTTCATCAGGCCAGCAGTTGATATCAATAAAATCGGTATACTAAAAACCATAAAAAAATGATTGTATATTAATGAAAGTATTATTAACAATGCTTCTTCTTTTCAGGAATATAAACCACGATCACCTTCTCCAGCAGTGAGGACTGAGGTAGGTTGTTACTTATGAAAATCAACAAAACTCTTACGAAAAAATCAGTCTGGACATTATAAAAACATACACATCTAAGCATTAATGAATTATGTGGGTAATTATTCTTTTTCAGGTGGGCACTTCAAACCAGTTTATATCAGTACCGGTGCGTATAACAAATGAACAAATTAATTTGGTTTGTCCAATGTAAAGTTTAGAAGTATCTAGATGATGTTTTGAGCATCATGTATGGTTTAGAGACAAAACTAAAGCCTGTTTACCTCGCAGTAGTTTTTGAGGAGTAGACAGCCTTCTTTGGCATGTAAGTGGCTAGAATGCAGCTAAATTTTCCTATTTCCATCTACTAAAAGTAACATTTTTACATCTTAAACTGCAAACCAAGCTGACACGTTCAACACGAGTCAACACCCAGTAAGGTCTGTAAGAGGTGCCTACCAAGCCTGTCGCAATGCGTCCATAAAATGGGACTATAGTGATTCTTTGTATGGGTCCTTACATCCAGCGTTAGTCTTTTTATTAGTCTCCATAGCCTTGATGGATAATGATTCCTCAGTTATATTTACTGGATTCAGTTTTTTTTTTGCCCGACAGAAACCTTGTCAGGCATTCACATATAATAATTACATACTAAGGTGTCCTCTATCTCTTGGCAGAAATTATACGCCCGTCACAACCAGCCTTATACACTCAGGTGCATATTGATCTGACAATGTCTTCATAACAGACCTGAATTATGTTCGGCCTTGATGCAGTAGATTCAAAACGTATGAGTTTTTATACACCTTTCAACAATTACACCTTTTTAATGCAGTTGGAATTGTATAGAATTATTTGGTCCTATTGGTGCACCCTGGCTAGACTATCAACCTGTTTATCTTTTTTATGAAGAGCTTAATTGTTACTGTGGCAAATTTCCCAAGGGAAGTTTGCATTTTAACTTTACTAACATATTTTTCTTTCATAAATCAAAACAAATAGAGTAAATGATGACTAGTAGTCCTTATATTGATGCTGCACTTACTTGTATTTTAAGATGGTTCTTCTTTGCGAAGTTATACCTGTGAATCATGCCTTCTAGAATCCTATCCTTGCATCAGCTTATATGCAACCAATCTCTCTCCCTGGATGAAGTTGTGTAGAGACAGTAGGTTTAGTAACAGTATTTTTATTATTCTCATGCACCTTTTTTATGCTTTGTGTGTGGCTGGTGTTGGCTCTTGGATGAAGATGGTTTCAAGATGTTTTGCTGGAAGAATAACAATCTCATTTATCACCAAACGTTAACTTGGGTTTCTTTGTAAATGATAAAACTGTGGTCTTATGGGAGTTTATTTAAAGCATTCTTGCCATTGATACCCAGTATAATCGACCTTAATATTTTTTTATATATAGCAATATACGTAGTGACTAACATTGTTAACAAATCTTATATTTTTAAGGGAATTGGACGTCGGTCGCGTTCGCCTTCAGTAAAACAACCGGTACGTTAATAACATTTTGACATTGAAATACTTCTTTATGTATTTAGCTCATTTGTGAAATTAGATCTTATCTATAATACATTTGATTGTACTTAGCTTTTTAAAGTTATGATGATTTAAAAGTTTGACTTTTTTGTAGGGTTTTGCTTCAAACCAGTTCATAACGATGAAACCGGTGTGTATTTCAATTAATAAAATTTACAAGTTTAGATATTATTAACTAATCTGTTAAAAAGCAAAAAAAAAGCTGCTAGAGTTTTGCTAGTACTTATTTGGTATAGGATATAGTGCGCATGCCTTGGGCAGAATGTGTTGGGAAAAGGATTCAGTGCGCATACCCAGGGCTGAAATTGCCCAGAACAGGATACAGTACACATGGACATGGCAGTGATTGTTCCAAACAGAATTATCCACTCCAATATTCATAGAATAGTAGTGTTTAAAGTGTGCATTAACAATGTTGGGTTGACATATAAGCGCACAACTATAATAATATGTTAAAGGAAAGGTAATAGAATGTAAATACTACAGAAACAATCACCTGAATCAAATTACATGTAGACATAATATTTTCTTTATGATATTTATAAAAGGCATTTTGTGTTGCAGTTCCCTCCAAAGTTAGCAGTTGGCAAGAATGGAAAACAAAAAATTCCAAATGACGTGAGTGCTTTCGTTTTTTACATTTAGACATAATAATCTGCCGGATAAATATACCATACGAGCATAATTCATTATTATTGAGATTTATGCGAGACATTTTGTTTTGCAGTCTTCTTCACAGCAGAAGATTTTTACACCACGAAATGATGTAAGTGTCTTGTGGTTTTTATTTTTTTGGTTTGTATCTTTCACTCCGAGTCAGTGTCCCATGGAGATGACTGCCTTGTCTCTTCTTCTCTCTTCTCATCTTTAAAAAACACATCTTGGCCCTCCAGACATCACATAAGCTTTAGGTTCCTAACACTAACAACCCTTAAGAGCAAGAACAAATTGGACGCACTATCGCAGCCAAATATATAGGTTGGTGAAGCCAACCTCTTCCAACAGAGGCGTACAGTAGTAACTTTCTTTAGGCGGAATTTTCAGTTTAGTGGTGTTCCTTACCATTCTTGCTTGCCGGTCTTAGCGCACCATGAATAGGTCATATTGAACATGCACATTCCTCTCTTGATGGGATGCTTCCATCATTATACAAACCAACATATGCCGGTTCTGTTGAGCGAGCCACCAAATATATTAGAATAAATGTTCCCATCTTTACTCAACTGAGCTGAAACAGACCTGAAGATCTTCAACATGACCCCTAGGGGGCCTCTCAGATACTCACCAAAAAGATACATGCATAGATTTGTCACATCCCCTGGCCAGCCGGTTTAAAAGTGCCTCAAGGGACACTTTCATACAGACAATTCTTCGGCTTTTCTGCCATCCCCAAAGAGGTAGAGAAGACACTCTGGAAAGAACAAAATGGAATCAACATTCCTGTATACTCCAAAACTCTAATAACACTGGTCTCTGACCACTCACCAGCCTTAATAACTTTCCAATTACAATTAAGCTCTCATGTAAAAATCACAAATTCAAGGCAAAGTAGACTGGAAAAAATGTCAACAACATATCAACAACTCTATCTCAATTCCCAGACAGGCATTGAATAACATATTGTAGAAATAAAATATATTATCTCCAATTTAAACTTTAAGATTGAAGAAGCCATTAAAAATCAACTAAAGCTTATCCTCCAAAAACGACATGTAACCCTGTTCACTCGGTACCTACTAGGATGCTGAATCTAATACAAGAAAAGAACAGAGTAAGTCTGTGGCAATGATGGAGAACCTCATAGTGGAAAAGTCAATTAAACTTCTTTCAAAGAAGGATAAAATACAGTGTGGATAAACACAAATTTGAAAGTTACAACAGCTATGGTTCAGAAATACATTCTAAGTACAATTCCGTATGGAAAGAAACCAGTAAATTACTCAAAAACCTACCAGGTTTCCAGCAATTAAAAACAAGAATAAAAGAGTAACACCCTCATACCAGATGAAGACAAAAGCAAAGTGTTTACAAACCATTTTGCTGAAATTTATGCTAAGGAGGATGAAAAAGTAGAAGACAAAGAAATCCTAGAATATGTGTCAAAACCCCAATATCAACTGCTGAACTTCCTATGGAATTCGTCACCCCTTCAAAACTAACCAACTACATTGAACAAATAAAAAAATAAAAAAAATCTGTAGCATCTTAATGCATGAGGACAGGTTACTTCCTAAAGGAATGGAAACAAGCACAAATAATCTTGATTCCTAAACCAGGAAAGAACAAAGCCAATGTAGAAAATTATAGACCAATCTGCTCCCTATGTTAGGCAAACCAATTGAAAAATGTATACAAAAGTGACTACTCCCATATTCAGAGAATTTAATAGCTAGCTCACAATTTTGGTTTAATACCAGACACTAACAACCCACTAAGAGTACCAGCTCAGTGAAGACATAGTACAGGGATTTTTTTTTCCCCTTCCTGGATTTAATACAACAGGCCTTGCACCCATTATATTTGTACAAAACAATCTGCCCTTGAGCTTCAAAACCCCACAAGGATCAGTGCTATCCCCCGTCCTATTCAACACATTCATAAGTGATATTCCAACAAAACATGATTATTGCTACACATGCGGATGACACTTGTACATATAAGACCCATAGAAATGCAGTATATGCTAAAAATAAAGTACAGCATTCAATAAACCAGATAGCAGACTACTGCAGCAAGCAAATAACTAAATATGTATGCATGTAAATATTACAGATACTTTTGAACTACTAGTTATAAAAAAACTAACTTATTATATATTTGATATTTTAGTTCAGCAAAACAAACAAATAATGACATTCAATGACAAACCTAAACCAAAAAGTGAATCAGTAAACATGTTGTTAATTATTGGAACATTAATAAAAAAAGTACATGTAAGGGGGGCTTAAAGCCCTATTTGTACCTTTAAAATAAATAATGAAGCAACCATCCCTGAGATGAAGCAGTCCAATCTTTCTTGACATCTTTTAAACATTCACCCGAGACCTGGGGAATATGTGTCAAACAAGAACCAAAAAGAGACTTCCTCTTTCCACTTACTTCCCTCATAATACTACTTACCCTACCTTTACTTTCATATATGCCAAGGTTTAAAAAATGTATCATGCAAGGATAATTTTTTTTCTGATATTTGTGATTCATTTTGTGTTGTAGAATTCACAGCAGTTGGTGTTAACTGGAGGACAACAAAAAATTCAAAATGATGTAAGTATTTACACGATTAGAATTTAGAATAAATTCACTAGTTTCGTGGTCCGCTTGACTAATTAATATCTTACAATTAATTAAGGTTTTCAGTTGAGATAACCTCGATCATGTGGTTGAGATGGGAGGTTGGTGTCCGAGTGGATCGAGGTCACGATAGCTCAAGTGGTAGAGCAGCGGCGTATCAAGCCGAAGATCGTGGGTTCGAATCCCGCTCATGCCTTTGACTTTTTATCTCAACTGAAAACCTTAATTAATTTAGAATAAAGTTAAAATTAGACCAGAATCAGATATGAAAGAGCCATAGAATTAAAGAATACCTCCATAAATACCAGTATAGCTAAGGTGCAAAGGAAGTAAAAGAAAGAGTCCAGTTCAGGTGCTCAATATGCAGAACATTTCTCTCTCCTGATATCGGCTACTTTCCTAAATAATTTTGAAGCCCTTTTTCATCCTCTTAACACTTTACTTCTTAATCATCCTAATAATTAGTATTCAAATCCACCCTACCAGATAACTGTGAGAAGTAAGCAAGGGAATGCTTCTTCATTTCTATTATCCTATTTTTGATTCCTATTTATCCGATTGTCAAAGTTTAACAATCAGGAGTAATAATTTAGTTTATTAATAACATGAGTGACATTTTTTGTTGCAGTTATCACAGCAGATGATTTTCAGAGGTGGACAACAAATTCGAAGTGGCGTAAGTGTTTTGATGATATGTGCCTAGACAATGGGAGTTTCGTGATTTTTTTGTGGTTTGTGGAACTTTGTTAAATCCAGATTTCTGATCGCCTTTGGCTATTTTTGCTCAAGAACATCCTTTCCTCTACCTACTGATCTTTGTTGGCCTTCTTCAAGGTAGTGTTCTGGCCCCCACACCTGGCATCCCATCTGCTAAACATCACTGCTGACCTTTGCGGATGATAGAGCGATTCTCCCAAGCAATTCTGATTGCTGTTTCCACTCGAAATTTTCCCCAATGGTCTCAGGACTCTCGTTGTGTCTTCACTGTTCTAAGTATTATATGTATCGACCACTTTTCTACTAATGAATACTCTAGATTATGGTATGATCTTGATGAAAAAGCAAATTCAGTTGTTACTGTCAAACTTTCGACCTATTTTAAGGTCATCATCAGGGCAAAATGATCTTAAATATGTTTACATAATTAAGTTTTCAAGGTTGTATACTGTTACCTTACTACTGTAACTACTGTTAGTCCTTGGCAATGTTGGGACTGAGTCAGTCTTCAAAGAAATTTAAAATCTTCTGTGAAAAACTTAATTATTAGGTAAATTTGTAGATATATTTAAAATTGTTTTTCCCTGATGATGGCTTTAAAATAGGTCGAAAGCTTCGCAGTAACAACTGAATTTGCTTCGTCAAGACCATACTATGGATTTTGCACTCTATTCCTTAGTCCACTCTGCTCATATCTCTTCAATCGACTGTGTTGTCATGTTTCAACTGCCTTGATTTTTCAGTGCTCCCCTTTATTATTGATCACCCAAGCAAAGGCTGGAGGGAAGAAAAACTAAATCCCTGAAAGAAAATCACCCCCTGAGGTGAGTCATGACCTCAGGCCATTCAACTAACATATGTGCATCACCTCTCAATTCTTGGAAGCTTCCTTTGTCGATGGTCCTCAGGTGATCAGGAACAAAAGCCATGCGGTTGATGTGATCCAAAATTTGTGGTGGCCTTAGCTTAAGCCCTGACAACGTTGTATGAGAACTTTCCCTTTACAAATAACTCACTGTCTTTGCCTACAATTTAATGTGTCCATCAAAACTACCCTTACAAACCTCCTAATCCTATTGCCCAAAATGTAATCCCACTACAAGTTTTATAATAACCACCACAAATCCTAAATAATATAACTCATCTTAAAGAATTTTCTCAAACACTTCTCACCGACTTGAGAGGTGATGGCCTCAGTGTCGCCTATCCAATGACATCTAGTCCTTATTAAATAGACAACATTATATTATCATTGGAATAGTATCAATGGGTAGTTTCTCCACTCTTGTTTTAATTACCCCTTTTTTAATTTTTAAGGCACGATCACCACATTCCTCTTCACCCAAAAGGAAAGAGCAGGTATGTAATTAAATAGTATGTATCAGTGTAAATACAAAATGTTAAATTTGAGAAGAAAATTAGATGTACTTACTTAAATTTTAAAAAAATATCTAAACAAATTACTTCCCCCATTTTTTATATTGCTATTACAATTTTTTTAAGGATTATTGTTCAAACCAGTTTATAACCATGGTGTGTATAATAAATTAAAGTCTATTTTACTATATTAGCCTTTTTAATAATAATTAGATAACAAAAGTTTCTAAAATGTAAAGTGTGTACAAGTGATGACCTTAAATCATGACATTAAATCATATCATTTTTATTCAAAGCTTAGATTTTATGATGGCTCATCTTACCTTTGGTGTATTCATACCCAGTTTATTCTTGTGTGATTACAAATGGAATTGTTAATGGTATAGATTCTGGGCATACATGTTTTTTGTTTAGTAAGTGTCCGGTTTTTCGATAACGGTTCCTTTATACAGGGGGTGTCGTACATTATGTGATACCTTTGACTGACTTGCTTGGATTACAGTTTATCATCTTACACTTTGATGTATTCATCCCCAGTTATTCTTGTGTGACTGGGCACACCTTGCCAATGGTACACATTCAGGGCCTACACATCCTTCATTTAGGTCTGCTTTTTTGCTATCTTTTGTGTACAAGATCTGTAAACCTTTCCACTAGTTTGTAATATTTGTAAAACTATACGTATTTTTTAGATAATTTATTAAAGATTGTGTTGATGACAATTGTTATTTTTAAGGGATACAGACCTCAGTCATATTCACCCTCAACAAATAACCATGTATGTAAATAAATTAATGTTAAAAATTATCTTCTAACTTCTAACTAAAAAAAAACTTAACTAAAAATTTATGTCTAATTACAAGTCTTATGTCTGGATGTAAAATCTCATTCAGAAATTCCAGTCTGATGGGGTCCCATGAAAATTTTCAATGAAAATCAAAATAAAAAAATATATAGACGACAAGAGGAACATTCATTACTAAAGATAGTTGATCAAGTGCCATCAGGTTAAGAAGAGGAATGGTACTCTATATTAGTGGCTGGTGCTTCAGACCTGTAGAGTGAATGGAGTGAAATTTAGGCTATAACTGAGTGTTGGGGACAAAACCTTAGGTTGATAGCTTTAGGATATAAACTCGGTGGGCAGGGATGGAAAAACCATTTTTTTTAAATAAGATAAGCTTGGAAAAATTATTAATAATTAAAATATGTTTTCAGTCATATTCTCCTAACCAGTGAATGTTGCCAAAATCAGTTCATATGTTTATAAAAAGGTGCACTACCTAGTTGAATCAATATTTTGCAAATGCATAATGGAATAACTGAAATTAATTTGATGAAATAATTTAGAACATTAATTACTTAATTTATTGAGTTTTATTATTATTTTTATTTTTTTATAATAGGCAAGGAGCCAGCGAGTTTCACCAGAAAAAGTATGTAATTGAGTGCTATTTGTAAAGTAATCATGATTTGTGGAGTAATATTTTCATTTTTAAAGTTTAGAATATTCAGTGATTGTTTTGATGATGTTTAAATTTGTTTTATTTTTTGTTTAAATTTGTTTTATTTTTTGTTTAAATTTGTTTTATTTTTTGTTTAAATTTGTTTTATTTTTTGTTCAACAGTATGACACTGCACATGGACAAAATCAAACGATAAACGTGGAACCGGTAAATAAAAAGATTTGAACTGGATTTATATTAAAATGATTATTTTAAATAAGTATAATAAAGATATGATGTTCGTAGATCGACCTGCAGATAATCTATGTAGGGTTCCAATCTTTGTAGAGGTTATTAGACGGGTGAAAAAAAGACTAAATACTGAGTTCACCGAGCTTTCGGCACTTTATAATGCCATCATCAGGCATTGTTAATTGTATGGTACTTTGCATTTATTTGAATTTGTAATAAAATAGCCCTTATGATGGCACTATAAAGTGCCGAAAGCTCGCTGAACCCAGCATTTAGTCTTTTCTTTACCCGTCTAATGGCCACTACGAAGATTGGGCCCCTACATTAAGTTTTGTAGGGATAAAAATAACGATATTCTGTTTAAATCATGTTTTCTTTCTTTTTAAAAATAATAAATGGCCCCAATAATGGTGCACTACAATCAAAGAAGGAGGAATGGGGAAATGTGGGCCACACTTATACAACCTCTCCTCAAAATGGGAAACACAGCAGGAAACTGAATAGGTGCCTTATTTGCTATTCTTGTCCTAAGGAGAGTGTGGTGATATTGAAGATGTAGATGGTAGAGTGAGGTGAAAGAGAGAACAGGGGGACAGGCTGAAAGTGTGCGAGTGCTAAGCGCGTGGTGTGTACAGCTCTTTTATTTGTGTTCTGAACTTTTGTGTCACGGTCGTTCTTTAGATGTAGTTTAATTTTACACTTTGTATGAATTATAAGAGTTGAATAAGTTTCAAAAAAAGCGGATTAATTTCACTTTCATTGTAATTAGCAACAAGGAGCTTTTACAAGAGTTTTTCCTTAAGCATTTCTTCAATTCCTAATTTCCCCTAATCGCTGATGAGACACCCTGGCTTATTGCAGGCCGCTCGGTTGATGATAACCTCCAAGAAATAGAGCCTGCTAAGTCACTTGGAAGTAGCACACATTAGCAACTACTCTACAGGGCTAACCATATAAGCTGTCTTCTTTAGTGACTAGTGAAGGATTCATAGTGGTTAGTGGTTGTGCTCTTAGAGAAAGTGCAGTTCATTAATTTAAAAACTCAGGAACATTACTCCCAGTATTGAAAGCATTAGATGGGATGTCTCTGGGTATGTTAGGTATATGAAAGGGAGTTCAAAGCGTCATTTGTCTTGAGAGTCCCGGACTATTACTGGTTACTTATGTGATGTGCACAATGGACTGAGTGACCTCACAGTCTCTCCGCCTCAGGCAAGTCGTTCTTGGAGTGGAGCAGCAATGGAATAGTGCACCTAGTAGAGTATAGGTTAAATATTCAAGGGCGTTAAATCATCGAGGTGCGGAGTCAGAAGCCTAACTGCTTGTGGAGGTGAAAGTTCTGTAGTACGAAGATAGATTGATTAACCTCAGAGCTAGATTCAGTCTTTAAAAATCCTATCTACAAATTAATGTAGCTCACAGGGTAAGAATTTAGAGGGATCACGTTCACTAGAGGACCCTCTTAGCCAGGAAAGCTGCACTCTCCCAAATTTATGGGTTCACCAGCTTGCAGGAAAAGCAATGGACTAGTCCTGAATTTGCCTGAGAAACATAAAGACATTGATAATATGAGGAACAGGACATGCAACCATAAAACACTCTCAGAGCAACCCTTCAAATACTTTTAGTAAGGTCTACATGTACATTTTCCACCTAACGTGACCAATCAGCAGGCCAAGTATTTTCCAATAATTGATCTTGACAAAATCGTTACATAACCACCATTTTAACTTTTCCCCATATACGAAGCCGAAGAACCGCACCAGCATGCCCCAAGGCAGACTTTACCCTTGAGACCAACTGTGGTGTTTGGAGGGTATCATCTCGTGCCGCCTAATGGATCATGGTGATGCTGTGACCTGAGGTGAAGAAATTTGGTGATTGGAACAAAGAGAGCTTGGAAAAGAGAAGGGTTCAGTATAATGTCAACTCTCAATGGATACCTAAGCAAACTTCCTTAAAGTCCACACAAAAAAATATCCTCAACAGAACACCCTGTATAACCTGTAGACATACTATATACTCTATCATTTAATTTTTATTTGGAAGGTATAACAATATGTATCTTTCTGCAGGTGACATCACCATCAAGTCAGCGTCTATTGAGAGATTCGGTATGTATAAGAAAAGAATAATAATTATCGATATTTTAATCATTTATAATTGTTAGCTTTAAGAGGCATCACAGCAAGGAAAGATAGCTAATACTTTTAAGATATAAAACATTAATTTGTATTTTTTTTACTAGGTGGCTTCTCTAGTAGAAAGCCAGCGGCATGTAGTAGGATCGGTAAATATTTAAAAATTTTGTTTGCTTTTAAGAACACTTATATTTATGTAATTGATTCTTTATTTGTGGGTATATGTGTGTTCTTTGTATTATCTGTAACATAGTATACATTTATAAAAAATACTAAGCCTTTTATGGAACTTTTAAATCAGTTATTCAAAACATGTAAAAATTTAATAAACTACGAGATAGATGCAATAAATAATATTGAATAATTAGAAATAGAAACACACACACAAAAAGAAATACTATACATTTAAAGAAGTCTCATTTGTTTTCACAGATAACAAATATGGAGTCAAGTCAACGAGTGATGTCAGATCCGGTACATATATTTGATTAATTAAGTTTGATACTAAATTAAATTTGAAGATGAATTAGAAATATAACACCATATTATAACACATTATAATGATTAATTATATTATATTATAGTTGGCATTTATTCGTGGTCATTCTCCACATTTTGGATCGGTATGTAATTTACCAAAATTTTTCTTTTTTGCCATATGATGAAAAAAGAATTTAAAAAATCCTGAAGACAGTGGTGGCCGAGAGGTTTGGGAGTCCAAAGGATTTGTTTCACTTCTTTTTTCATCACGAAGTTGACATTTTTGAAAATATTTTAACTAAACAGTTCTCACTTTAGATTTCATCTGTGACAAGCCCTCACCTCAGGGACGATTCAGTAAGTAAAAAAAATTTTTTTTTCCAGAAAATAACTTTTGCCCACTTGACAAACTCCATAATGTTATTTGATGTTTTGTTTATAGCTGTCTCAGCTGTCATTTCTAAATGAATTAGTGAGTATTTTTTCAAAAATAATAAACTAATAATTTTTAAAAGGTATGAATTTTTTAGTGATACTAGATCAAAACCTAACCGCATCCAAGCGTACTTGCCAACGGGCCCTAGAAACCAAGGAAAAAATTAAGCAAAGTTTTCAAATATTGGTTTCTTCCTTTGTTCTTATGTATTTTCAAGGTTTATTATGTATCCTTCGATTACAAAATATTTCTGGTTGGATTTAAACCTCTTTAGCACCAGGGGCAACTATTTAGTTCTACAATGTCCAGTGTTCTACTTAAAAAATCTTAACTTATATGTTACTCCCAGCTAGCAGCTAAGTATAATTTGAAATAGGGACCAGGTATCGATGGGAAAGGGAGTAAAGGGTGCTTAAAACAAATCCAAATTTATTATTTAAAAAAGTTAAAATTACTTTTTTTCCCGGCTCTTAGAGCTTATTGGCAAGAACGTTCAGGCAAGTCACCAGGTTTCATTAAAATCAGTGATCCCACATCCGTATTATAGCTGGTACATAAAGAACTTGGCTGTTTAGGACTAGGTTTTTATAAGAAACATTTAAATTTAAACCCATCTGATGCACACATGAGACATTAAAGATGTCATGATTAACCTAACTATTCCTAAATGAACCTAACTCTACTTAACTATAACTTTTCCCACCCTAACCTAACCCTACATAATTTAAAGTAACAACCTTTCATAATTTAAAGTAATGCCTAAAGAAGGAGATAAGATAACTCCTACTGTCTTGAAAACAAAATTGGTGTGGTCCATGGGGACCAGGGTGATGAGATAGCAAAAAACCCTTATATCATCTAGCTTTTCGTAGCATAACATAACCCTATCTAACTATATCTTTATATTACCAATCGTTACTAACTTCACTATAATTTTACCTAACCTAACCATATCTGCCATAACCTAACCTAACTCTAACTCTACCTTGTAACCTTACCTAAACATTCCCAACCTATCCTAACCCTTACTCTACCTTACTAGAAGAAAACATTTATTTGTTTAAACAATTGTTTTGTTGTTTTTTTCAAAAAAGAGTTCACACTACGTTAAATAACTCTACCTGACCAATCTTACTGTAACGTTATATAATCTTAGGTAAGGCCTGAAGAAGGAGATAAGATAATTCCCCTAACTGTTTTGACAACAAAATTTTAGTAAATTGGTGCAGTCCACCGATATCCATAAGATACAGCAGGATGGAGGAGGGACAAAAAACCTTGTGTAATCTAGCCATTCATCACCTAACCCTAACTCTATCTAACTATAACTTTTTTTTTTTTTATGAGAGTTTGCAACAGTAGGTCATATAAACACTCAGGGTGCCGGTGTTTTTTGAAAAAAGCCCATTTGTAAGTATGTCGGATTCAAATGCAGGGCCACTGGATAAGAACCCAGGACCTTTACCTTACAGTGATGAGCGCCCTGTCAAAGACTAAACCTTGCGGCCACCGACATAACTATAACTACCTATAACTTTATCTTACATACCGATTCCTAACCTGACTATAATTGTACCTAACTTAAACATGTTTGACATAGCCTAACCATTTCGAACCTAACCTAAACCAACCCTACCCATAAAAATTTGTATATCCAGCCTAAGAAAATATCCATATCTAAATCAGTTCTTTATGCCCTTTGCTGAATGTTTAAAGTTAACGCATTAATTTTCTTTATTTTTTTTTATAGCTTGATCCAAAGATGTCAAGTCAATTTGTTACAACAGATTTGGTAATTATTTAAATGTATGAAGTATTTATTCATGTATGTTTTTTTATACTTTTATTTTTATTTATTTATATATTGTAGCCGACTCATAGGTCAGATCAAAGAGTGATCTCAAAGAGAGAATCAGTAAGTGAAAATATATTATCAAACTATAATGAATTTAACATGTATAATAATTAGAGAAAAGTACATTGTATTTTTTTTCATGTTTTTTGTTTTTCAGTTTGGGTCAAGTCAGTTCGTTACGACAGATTCAGTAAGTAAATAAATGGATGACGTATTTATTCTTCTGTTTTTTTTTTGTGTTTTTTTTAAATCCAATGTTGACTGAATAAATCCAATTTTTTTCGACTCATGTTGCTTTTAGTAGCACTATCAATTATATTCAACTATTGTTGCAATTTATTTTTTTTTTTCTAGCCAACTCATATGTCAGATCAAAGAGTGATCTCAAAGAGAGAATCAGTAAGTAAAAACATTATCAAACTATAATGAATCTAACATGCANTTGATTTTTTTTTTTTTTTTTTACAGTTTGGGTCAAGTCAGTTCGTTACTGCAGATTCAGTAAGTAAATAAATGGATGAAGTATTTATTCTTCTGTTTTTTTAACAAATCCATTGTTGACTGAATAAATCCAATTTTTTTTCGACTCATGTTGCTTTTTGTAGCACTATCAATTATATTCAACTGTTGTTGCAATTTTATTTTTATTTATTTTTTTCTAGCCAACTCATATGTCAGATCAAAGAGTGATCTCAAAGAGAGAATCAGTAAGTAAAAATATATTGTCAAACTATAATGAATTTAACATGCTTAATAATTAGAGAAAAGTACATTGTATTTTTTTTCCAGTTTGGGTCAAGTCAGTTCGTTACGACAGATTCAGTAAGTAAATAAATGGATGAAGTATTTATTCTTATTTTTTAACAAATCCATTGTTGGCTGAATAAATCCAATTTTTTTCCGACTCTCATGTTGCTTTTTGTTGCACTAACAATTATATTCAACTGTTGTTGCAATTTTATTTTTATTTATTTTTATTTATTTTTTTCTAGCCAACTCATATGTCAGATCAAAGAGTGATCTCAAAGAGAGAATCAGTAAGTAAAAATATATTGTCAAATTATAATGAATCTAACATGCATAATAATTAGAGAAAAGTATATTGTATTTTTTTTTCCAGTTTGGGTCAAGTCAGTTCGGCACAACAGATTCGGTAAGTAGATAAATCTCGAGTATTGATAATTTTGTTTGTCTTTTTACTTAAACACTCTCAAATCTGTAGTAAAACAATAAAAATGCAACTTTGTTTTTTCAAAAAATAAAAAAAAATGGCCCCATATCCCAGGAAATTACAGAGGGATAGCACTATTAATTTTATAACTAAATTTTTTACAAGTATTATTAATGAAAGTCTATCAAAGTTGCTAGAGAAAAATCCTCTCAATTGAACAGTCCCAGGTTTAGAAAACGTAAAATTTGTACAAATGATTTTTTTATTTTTTATTTTATTTTGGTAACAAATCATCAGTTGAGACTGAATAAATCCCAATTTTTCTTTTTATTGGTCAACTCTCATGTTGTTTTTCGTGGCACTGTCAATTATATTCAACCGTGTTGTAATTATATTTTTTATTTTTTCTAGCCAACTCATAGGTTGGATCAACGAGTGGTGAGAGAATCAGTAAGTAAAAAATATATTATTAATATGTACAAAAACTAAGGAAAAGTACTTTGTAAATTATTTTTGCCAAATTCAAATAAGACGGTACAGTTTTCATAGATGATGTTTTTCAGCTTGGATCCCAGGTGTCACAGCTTTTAATAACAAAAGATTCGGTAAGTCAATAATTGGGCTGTTTCACATAAAATAATCTTTTTATTGTTATTTCTTTAATTTGTAGAAGATTAAGCTGTTTTCTGTTGTTTAATACCAATGTGTTGACATATTATACTAAGCAGTTATTAATCCCATATTTTTCATGTATATCACTTAGCTCTCAAATTAATTATTCAAATATGAACGTGCAAGTATCGTTTTATATTCTTTGATAAACATAATATGTGTCATTCGGCAGCCCAGGCTGCAAGAAACACTATGGCTTTTGAGGATGGATCAATGAACTGAGGAAGACCTGCCTCCATCTGACATCAAAGTTCAAGCTTACTGTGGAAGAAGACCCTTATCAAACTTTTAGAGGAGTCTCAGCACAACAGAATACAAGTGGATCAACCGTATCAAGATATTTAAAGGACACTGGAAAAGTCAAAAAGCTCAATTTGTAGGAACATATTGATCTCACTGATCAGCGGCATTGAAGCACCATGGGACATGGGTTTTATTGCTTTCTAGGCAAAAAATCTAAGCTTTAGTTCAAACAACTTTCAATATTTTGCATGACACCAAAATCTTATGGTGCTAGTACTGTGGACTATGGTTGGAGTAATTTACCATTCCTTTTTGTCTAAAGCTATTACAGCTTCTGTAACTTACTCAAATTAAATTGATTAAAAAAACTGTTTAAAAAATTTCTGCAATGTTTTGGTGCATTGCACCTGCGTCATAAGACCAATGTTGACATATGGGTTAGTGGTGTTGTGGTCCAAGAATCTGCAAGCCAAAGCAATCAGGCTATTAAGTGACACCCAAAGACAAGCCTGCCTCAATGTCACTGGAGCCATGAACACAACGCCAACTGCGGCCCTGGAAGTGTTGTTAAACCTCCCACCACTTCATATTTTAATCCAAGAAGAAGCCAGAGCAGCAGCTCACAGGCTCATAAATGGACAACCATCTGCAAGGATAGGCCATCAATCGATGCCACTACTCTAAAATAGAATTTTACAAAAAGGTACAGGGTACTGATACCAGAACGGGAAGAATGGAAAAACTGCAAGCCAGATCCTACACTAAGGAGCCGCTGGCAAAGCTATGGATGTTGATTAACAACCTGGAGCTGGCCAGTGAGTTATAAATAACAGGGAGCACAATATCTGTGGTATTCAGGTCAAGGTGCAGAAATCCTTGTGGCCACTTCTTTTATCCCTATCCCTATCCCTATCATTTTGGTGCATTGTATTTACAATTTTTATTGTTCTGTTTATCTCTACTAGATAGATATCAATTTCAGTGTTCTTTTTTAGGAGAGTTTATACGTTCTGTTTAAGCATCAAACTCTGAAATTTGTCCTCTTTTTCAGTACTTTTCAAAGGTAATTCAGTTGTCGAAAGAGAGACCAAGAAGGCTGCCATTTTTTTGGGTACCATTTCTCAAAATCTATTTAATCTATTTGCTGGGTTAAAAAGAAAAAGAAAAAACCCTAAACAATTGGCAACAACCTAAAGTTGTAACAAAACGTTATACCTTTTTTATTTAAAAAAAATACATATATGTATTTTTCTGCTCCTCGCTGTATTAAAGAAATCCTCTTGCTGTAATGTTTGCCTGTTAATGCTTTATAAAAGGGAAACAAATGTTTTAACTATGATGAAGGGTTGTGGAAAAAAAGCCTACTGAAAGGTGAGAAAGTACAACTTTCAGGGATTTTCTGATTGAGCTCGATTTTCTGATTATTCTCTTTGTTGCACAATTTACATCATAAAAATGTTACACACTGATTCCTCTCACTTGTTGATAGACAATTTGGTTTGTAAAGGTGGTTGACAAAGACTATATAATGCATAAAAGATATCTTCAAACAGCGTAATGGATGCAATTCTATCAAGATACACCAATACACTAGATTTGCAACATAAAAAAAAAAAAAAAAAAATTGAACCACTTATAAAGATTGGAATCCCATGAGACCGATTTAATTCTACGCAAAAAACAGTGTAGGACATGCCAACCCCAAAATATGTATAAATATTGGTATAGTGTCACATCAAGAAAAATTATCAAAATTTATATTCTTACAGTTTCAATCTTTTCTCTTTGTGATGTAAATAATGTTTAATTAATTATTTATTTATTTTAGCCATCACAGGTGTCAGGTCATCTACTGAAAGAATCAGTAAGTAAATACTTCTAACTACTTCATCTCTCTATTTTTGGGGTTACAGGTTAAGATTTTTTTTTGGTGTCACTAGTGACTGTATCACCTTTTTCATTGCACCATTGCAACTTCCTTCTTTATCTCCATAGCCAAAAAAGTGCACTATTCTTAAAGTAATTGAGCACTTTCCTTGTTTCCCTTTTGCCTAGGTTTGGCTGTTTTTGGAGTGGTTTTGGTTCCAGTATCTCTGCTGTTTCAAGGTGGAGCTGACAGGTTTCTGTCTTGGGTTTTCCTGTTTTTTGAGACTGTAATTAAATGTGCAATGGCCAGAGAGGTGATAGCGTAGGTTTACTTACATTATCAGCTAATGAACATGTAGCAACCTTCTATATAGCTTCTATAGCTCTGCTTAAGACCTTTTATATAAGACTCAAACTTAGGCTAAACACATCATCAAGATCTCACAGTAATGGAGCAAACAGGCAATACTAGTTACAAACTACAGAATTAGCTATTAAGACTAAACATACCCTCTGTAGTATGTTTATCAGGTAGTATATTAAATTGATCCAAATTTATTTGACCTTTCATTTCTATATGACTAATTTTTTCCATTCTTGAAAGGATTTATTATCCCTAACGTGATAAAATTTACATTTATTGGTTTACAAAACTTTTTAATAAAAAAAAAAAAAAAAAAAAAAAAATCAACATTATTTTTTTAATGAAAACTCATCGCACTCATTGCTTACTCGACGAACGACATATCTGATATCTGTCCTAGGCCATACTCTCTGTACTGTTTTACATCGGCTTTCACAACTGTTGAAGATTCGGTTCGGTTCGGATTATTAGTGGGATTTAATTAACTAAAGTGTACTCTATTTTTAAAAACGTTATTATTAATCAACAGAAACTTTCTACATGTTTTAAGTAAATTGCTAAAATAGTATGAAATATTTCTGATAAGAGTCAGCATGGATTATAAACTGTCCTATATCTAGCAACTTTCTTATTACCCATAACAATAAAAATCAATAGAAAACATTCTAAACTGTCAATAACCTTTCTGAAGACAGATTCTTACCTTTCCAAATTCACACTACAACAGTCTACGTCTCCACAACTTGATTGCTAAGCTCACCAATTTTTAGATGTAAAATATTAACTTCTGTGTTTGATTTATGTATGCTTTTTTAAGTACAGCTTAGGTCACAAGTGACAAGTCATTACATAACAAAAGATTCGGTAACCCAATAATACTTATAATCCATGACCACCGACCACCTTACATCCTACTTAAGCCTCTTCATCCCAAAGCAGTCACTTCTTGAGAGACTAAATCCTGATTCTGTTGCTGAATCACAAGACCCCTTGTTTTGACCTCATCAATCTTACTCACATACAACAATATACTCAACACTTCTCACTTCCCTTTGCTCTGGAAATACCCATATCATTATTTTAACAAAGGCCAGCAAACCCAACCATAAAGCTTCTTACCGTGCAATGGACCTCCTTCTTCTTAAACGTTAGATCCAGACACTAAACTAGACAGTGAGGCACCGCTAAACTAACCAACATCCAAAGAATACAGTATTTCCAATCCAAAGTCCTCAAAATTATTGTCAACACCCCTTCAACAAAAACCTAATCCAAAACATATACCACGATAAACAAATACCAACCTATTAGCCTAATCCATAGCCATTATTGCCCATTTCTGCAATCCTGTCATGCTCCGGGATCTCCTAATCAATATTAGCCTTGAGAAAAGCCGTGATAGCAACAATGACTCCCATGATAATATAATAATGTAAAACGAATTCATTACATAATGTATATAATACGTAAAGAAAGTATATATACATTTTTTACAGCTGTCTGAGGTGTCAAAACACCATTTAATAAAAGATATGGTAAGTTATTAACTGTTTGAACTCCATGTCAAAATATGTCAATTTTTATACTATTTATTTATTTATTCAATGATTGCATTTTGTGTTTTATTTAAATTTAATAAATGTTGTACAAACTTCCACACATTGTCATCAATCAAATTTGACTTAGTGCTTTTATTTCTTATCTATCTCAAGTATCAGATCATCACATCCAGAAAGAATCGGTAAGCAAATTTAAAAATACTAATCTGTTGATATTGGATGCCAGTTTATCAAAAAATAGACAGACAGCTTATTCTGAACAATATAATAGTAATAAATTTTATATGAGGGGGCGTGCTAAGCAGAGTGTTAGCTTTGCTGAATATACTACCATATTGGCCTTCAACCCACCATGCCCAATTTCACTTAATGATGACTTTGTTTTTTTATTGCTTGGATCTCAGGTGTCGAGTCATTATATAACAAAGGATTCGTTAGGCGAACTTATAAATTAAGGTGTATAAAAAAAGGGCTTTTTTTCAACTAACATGAATTGCTTTTGGGTTGTAGAGAATTTTTCAACATTTGGGGGGGATACATAGGGTCGGGTTAAGGATTATGGTTAAGAAAAGTTAGGTTTTGTAGGATTAGGTTAGGTTATGTCACTGACTAATGTAACCCTTATTATTTAAATGAGGGTTACATTAGGTCAGTAGGGTTATCAGGAATAAATACAATTACTTACTGTGGAATTCATGTTTTTTATTTAAAAAAGGTTCATTTTTTGCCATACACCTGGTTAGATTTTTTTTAGTAATAACATAGTAGTAATACCCTTTATGTTTCTAGCTAGCTCAAGTGTCAGATCACCAAATTGGAAAAGCAGCGGTAAGTAAATATAATGAATCACTCTTTCATTTGAGGTAAATGTACGTATGCACATGCACACACACACACACACACACACACAGAGGAGAGGGAGAGAGAGAAAGAGTGTTATAGACTGTTTTCTTCGCAGTCATCCTGAGAGAAAAGAAAGGCCACCAATTTTCTGGAGCCGAGAGCCTAGGTATCCAGTAAGCCTGCAAAGGAAGGAACAGACTTTAAATAAATCTGGCTTGTTGCAAGTCAGACATTTGCCCCCTACAGGCACAGCATATTACATCAACAAGAACAGTGCCACTGTATATGATTTCTAAAGCATTATGATACTCTGGACAGGATAGGATAGTGAGAATACTAGGCAGTGGGGCGTATAGCTTAGTTTCTCAAGAGAATGAACAGAGACTGTTCCTGCTCTTCCTGTGGCCTTGTTAGTACTCTAGGTTATATTTACATTGAGCTCTTGGTTTGCATTCAAAGATATGAATGGCAGTTTCTTTTTCTTTGCTTATTGTTAAATAAACCCGTGTTTAAACTTAAACCATATGTGTTTGCCAGTTTTGATGTTGTGACGGTGATTCATTAGCCCTAACTGCTTCTGTCACCTCTAAACTTGGTCCACATCTCCGTATGGGCCCATTCTGAAATAGTGTTGTTTTTGTCTGACCTCGTTCTTGACTGATAACAGGTCTTGAAGATCCTCTTCTGACTAGTTTATCTGCTTACTCGTTACCTAAAATCCCATTTTCCCTGGAATCCATCTTTATAGGGAAAAACCAATTAAACCAGAGATCAATTAGCAAACCATGGCTACAATTTTGTGCCAGGAGAGTTTTTCATCAAACACTCCTAGGCATTTCATAGTATGAAGCTAAATAGTTAAATTTCGTGTTCTTTGGTGGCTGGTAATCTGAAGTAGCTATGATTTTGTTTTAAGGTTAGTTCATTTTGACCGTTTCAATTGTCACCAGGCATTAGTTAGCTTCGATTTGAAGATCTTGCTCTTTTCCATGTTGGATAACTATTACAAGTTCAACAAAGGGGAAAATTTTAAGATCAGAGCTATACATTATATTCTAGAAGCCTGGAGAGCATAAGGGTCCTCAAAGACATCATGTTTGATATTTTTCTGTTCAATACCACATAGAATTACACATTACATCTTAAAAGTCACTTCTTGATAATCTCAATATACACTTTGTTCACTAATAATTTACATAGCTATAAAGTTTACATTTAGTTTTGGTAATTTCAAATTAACATATTATTGCAGCTATAATTTATACTTTTTTATAGCTTTCATCTCAGGTGTCTTTTCCTCATTTGTCAAAACCATCGGTGAGTTAATTATTTAATAATTTTAATCTGTAATTTTAGTCTAGCCTTTGTAGTTTGTTTACCAGTATCAAATTTGTTCTTTGATATATACCTGGGAACATCAGTGACACCAGCATTTCATCCAAAGGACGCAGTTTAAGACCTAGCAGGTCTCATCGACATCAGAGGGTTCTTAGGATGTGAAAGTGTAGAGAGGGCTTGGGCTGGGATGGATCGATCCTGTCGAACCTGTCTTTGATAAGCTCGATATGACCTTAACAAATTTTTCATTCACATAGGTGGTAATGATGGAGATGTATAGGAAAGTCAACAGAATAAATGTTGTATAGTATGGGACCAAGTATGTTTTCTTGTAGATTGGTTCAGTATCAGAACTATCGTTTCTACACCTCTGAATCAGTGGTTAAAAAGGGTTCCAGGATAAATTAATAACAAGTGAGCAGGAAGCATTTAAACTTAATAGAGGATGCATGTCATAAGTTTGGGCAATGTCTAAGAATACACCCAAGCAATGCACTTATTTCTCTAGAGTGGACAAAACTCTGAAACCTTGCTGGAACATTAAGTGACAGGGACTAAAACTGAATCGGTGAGAAGGAAGAAAAGAAAGATTTTATGTGAATCTAGGATGTGTATGAACATTTTAAAAAGGATCATTCGAGGATTTTTGTCATCACAGGAATAAGGAAATTATATGCTTGGGATGGTTGTCAGCTTTAGGAAGGAGAATGGTGACAGAATACATCCATAAATAAGAGAGGAAAGTAAGTGGATGGTAGTATGGTATAAAAAAAAGTTGGTCTTCTGAGGAAGGTTTTGAACTATAGTGGAAGCAATTAGGCCATGACCAAAGGATTTGTGATTGTAGTACTTAATGGAAGGCTGGATAGGATTAAGAGGTAGATAAAGAAGTTATAATTTAAATTTTGGCTTTACACAGCTTCTCTGATGAAATCTGAAAGTAAGGATGAGAAACAGAACTTAATCGTTTGATGGTTCTAGAATCAAGCATCTGGTTGAAATACTGTCATATTAAAATTCTTACATTATAAAATATTTCTATTTATTTACAGCTTCACTCTGAATCATCAATTCCTGTTGACAGAAAAGAAGTGAGTAAATAATTAAAAACTTCTGTCAGATGAAATTGAATTTATTAAAATTAATAGTGTGAATCTACAATGAGGAAAAGTAAATAGCAAAATATCTTACAATTTAGAATGATAAATCTAACATAAACACAAAAAATAATTTATGAGTGAAAGTGATTCAATGATTGTGATATTATTAGAAAAGAACCCTTATCTCAACCCTAGAACTTGTGTGTTTTTTCTTGATCTCATGGTATAGAATTCCAATACTGGACCTCCTGAATGAAGTTTTAATGACCTTACTAACTCAACAGAATATGTGCCCAACTGCTTTAAACAAAATTAGACTAGATTCGATAAATTCCACTTATTATCTAGGTACACATGCACCATGAAATATGCAGATTGTGGAAATGCAGTGGACCTTTAAAACCTTTAAAATCTGAACAGTATAAGTTCAAAAGCTTATTTACTCTAAAAGAAATCCTCCTACTTGTGAAAAGTGAAAAGAATGAAGAAAATTCAGGGAATTCATTGTCTGGAACAGAATACAGTATGTTATTATCCATATACTTACTTGTACTTGTTTAAAACAAGATATAGTGCACATGCACAGGGCAGTATTTGTCTGGAACAGAATACATTACACATGCCTATGTTAGCACCTGTCCAGAACGGATTAATATTACCTATTTTTATTATGTTTGATCAAGTGTTTCTTTCTTTTACTATCACAAGCATTTCACAGTTACTTGAGTCCTTATTTTTGTAATCAACTTACTAGCATACAACCTGGTTTTCTCAAAAACTTTTCAACCAAGAAATTTTTTTAACCTTTTTAAGCATAAATCTACTTTGAATCTGAGTTTAGTAGTTTTTGGGAAAACTAGGATGTCACACTATTATGTTATATACTACACTAGTTATTTATTTTGAAATTATATATTTTTATTTTACTTTTTTTTATTCTAGGATCATCCTATCCCACAAGAATCGGTATGTAAAATAATTTTATTTGAGAATTATTTTCTCAACAGTGGTTAATGTGTATATTTTTTATGACTCTCAGGTTCATCATATCCCCAAAGAATCAGTAAATCATTTTATATTCAATATTATTTCTCCTGTTCATATACACATCTAAAGAATTGCAGTTTGATGTAACATGTTAATTTTATTTATTTTTAGTTTGGATCTCAAGATCAAATACCAAAAAGACCGGTATGTAAATTAATTTGGTATTGAATATTTCTCCCCATTTTGTTATAGCATGTTACATACGTGTTTATTTGTTCATTTTTTTAGTTTGACTCTGTAGAGTGCAATACCTTAAATGAATCGGTATGTAACTCATTTCATTCCAGTACTATTTTTCTCGCCATGTAATACACCTTTTTATGTTTATTTTTCATTTAGTTTGACACTTACGACCGTCAAGTCCCAAAGGAATCAGTATGTACATTGTTTATTCCAGTACTATTGTCCTGAACTAAAAGTTACCTGAATTTGCAGTTTGTTGTAACATATTAGGAATAATATATATATAATCTTTTTTTTTAGTTTGCATCCCAAGTACCATACTATCATACAAATAAAGACTCAGTAAGTAAACGATTAAAGATATTAGTATTCAAACATACTGAATTAATCAATAAAAACCCTAAATTGCTTTATTTATTACTGTTTTTATATCAGTCAATATTGTGTAGAATATGTCAAATATCATGCATATTTCCAAATAAATATTTTTTTTCCACAAATATGTGTAATTTTGTTTATTATTTTTAGGATGCAGCGGAAGATACTTATAGAACACCAATAGGACTGGTATGTAAATAATAAAAATACTGTTAAACTGCTATACAAAGTGTCAACTTGCTAGTGCCCTCCTGGTTTTCATAAAAACTACTCAAACCTGAAAATATTAAACATTTTTTTAGCAAAAGCTATACTTTCATAGCAAAATTACATTTCCTGTATTCCTAACCCTACCTGGCCTACCACATCCTATGTTCATTACTGTAAGCTATCCCTCCACTATAACCAACTAGCCAAAGCTGGTTCGATGTCTCACTCTTATAATCCTCCATGGTCCCATGACCTAAAAATCCCAGTTTTTTAGTGTATTTAGGCATTTCCATACTTGTAATTGTTTTGAGTTGATCTCGTCATTTTGAAGAGGCTTATTTGATTGTATTTTTATAGTTGCATTCTTAAGATGGTAATGATCTCATGTGCTCATGATTCTATGGTTAGTAATTCTTCTTGAAAGACAGTACTCATTCCTGTTCCATTTCCCATATTTGAATTTGAGCCGTCTGTATACCATAGAAGAACTCCAGGCTTTAATTTTCATTGTGCTCTCTCTCTCTCTCTCTCTCTCTCTCTCTCTCTCTCTCTCTCTCTCTCTCTCTTTCTCTCGCGGATTTTTATGTTGAATTGTTTTTTCAAAATTTATTATTTTTTCTGATATGTCGTCTCTGACCATCTTGAGTTTTGGCCATTTCAGTTATGTTAACTCTGTCAAACATTTTGGAATTACAAATAAGCAGTGTGCTTGTTTCCACTGTTCAATGAATTCTCAGATGCTCAATCTCCAATTGCTCAATGTATATTTTTGTACAGATAGCAATAAAAAAAATTTAAAAAGTTGAGAAGTAGACAACATACTATTTATTTAGTTAAGTTGCAATAATTGCAATAACATATTAAAACTGTTTTCTGACACTTTACGTAAAATCAAATGGATTTAAACAAAAATGAAAATGATGTTCTTTTGGAGAAAAAAAACAGTAGAAAAGTGTGGTGATTAGTGCCCGTTAATTGATAATTATTCAGAAATCGTGAGATGCGGTCTGGTGTGATGTAGGTTTCAGAAAAACGTTTTCTTTATCGTGCCAACGTTTCGATCTTTATTGAGATCATCTTCAGGGCCTGGGATTTACAAACTTTGTTTACAATTAACAAATACATTTAGGATGTGGAAAAGTGAATTTATACAATGCAAAATATATTTTTTATATTCAATCAAAGTATTTCTACTTCTAATGGAACAATTACAGAAGACAAACACTTTGAGTGAGTAGAAATACTTTGATTGAATATAAAAAATATATTTTGCATTGTATAAATTCACTTTTCCACATCCTAAATGTATTTGTTAAATGTAAACAAT